ATATATATATATATATATATATATATATATATATATAGCCTCTCGCTTCACCTTCGTGTTGTTCCCTTTCTTTTAGCCACCTCTCGTCCAACAACGGTGATGAGCACAGCAGGCACTCCTCTGCCTAGATGCCTTTTTGGCGGTTGTGTATAATAATAATGTATTGAAAGAAAACAAGAGAGAACTAAAACGGTGAAAATATTTTTTAGTAAATGAAAAAAAAAAGGGCGAAAGAAGACAGCGCCGTAAAGGCTGCGCAGGAGAGGAAAATAAGAATCTGTGCCGCTCACATCCCCACACCGGCACCCCGCGCCGGAGTATGTGTATAAGCATGTGTGAAGCAGCTACCCAACGTGCAGGGCGGGACGGCGAAGCCTCTTGAAAAAAAAAACAAAAAGAAAAGGAATGTGTCGCTGCCGATCTCGCTTGACAACGGAGATGGAAGTTTATAGTGGAAAGTTGCCACGCTGTTGCATCTTCAAATACACACACTCTCTCACTCACGCACACATGTGTTCTGGCTCCGGTGATGTCAGCTTCACCGACGGCGCGGAGCATTCCCTCCTTTTGCGAGTGTCTTGTGCTTTCACACGTAATATGTATGTGGGAAAAGAAAAAAAGACAATAAAATAATAAATTATAAAGAGAGAGAGAGAGAGCGACGAGCTGCATCCGTGCAAGGTCACTTAGACAGGCTGGTTACCCGCCATCACGTCCTTTACCAGGCACAGGTTAGCCCGGAAGGCCCAAATTGGGTGCTCGAGCGAGGCCGGCCTGCGCCGCTCAAAGGCCGCATCGGCCCCCCAGCAGAGCAGGTACCCAACCGCGATGGACGACGCCATTAAGCGGGCATCAAGCCGAATCGCAGCGAAGACGGCGGCGAGGGCGGCGAGCGTCGTCGCCAGCACGTGTGAGCGGCGCGTCCACATGCTGCTGCGCGTGGCGAGGTAGTAGGCGCGGTACTCATTGAAGTTCGTCGCGCTCACGTTTAGCTTCGGGCTGATGGAGACCATGATGGCTGTCTGCTTGCGTGCGTCTGCGTGTGTTGTGGTTACTCACCCGTGCGCTGGAGGGCAGTGGAAGGAGGAGAGGAGAGAGAGAGAGAGAGAGAGCGGTATAAACAGAGTGGGTGTATGAAAGATTGCTTCGTATCTACGCAGGCGATGACAGGGAAAAAGAAAAAGGGAAAGTATTTGACTATCTATGTGTTTCGGAGGAGGGAGAGGGAGGGAGGGGGCAAGGGAGAAAGGAAACGGAAATGGAGCGAGGAAGAGCACCACCACAAATCGCCAAGAGTAAAAGAAAAAGGATTGGCGAGAAAATGAGCGTGGCAGTTTAGGGAGGACGATGCCGCTGACACACGACAAACACACATACGATGACCTCCGCGCAGGAAAATAGAAGTGGTTGTGCTTTTCTTCTTTGATGTCAGTGTCAGTAAAAACTTTTTTCTCAAAGCTCCGTTCTCCTCCTCCACACACACACACACACCTTCTTATGTTTCTTTCGCTGCTCATCTCTGCGTGTGTGGTGGGGTGGGGGGGGGGGTAGGGGGGGCTCGACACCTCTTGAGAGCTGTTCATGGAGAGGAAGGCGAAAGAAGCGCCCCGCGTGGACACTAACAACACAGCTGCTATTCATTTCGAGTTTATGGAGCATCATGAACGTAATAATCATGAACATAAATATATAAATAAAAATATAAATGACTAATAAAAGAGTGGTAGAAACTTGCACAAGATACTTTTAGAAGAAAAGGGAAACGTCGACGACAGGTTGAGAGAACGCGGTATATTGTTCGTCGCACGTCGTGCTGGAAGAAAGAGAGACAAGCGAAACGAAAAGGAAGCGCCATACATCGCACCCTGTGCTACATCGACGTGGTGGGAGAATGAATGCGCACAACAGTGTTTGCGCTCATCACGCGATGATGGGTTCGGCGGGAAAACAGAAAAGTAAAGTAAAAGAGAGAAAAAGCAGGGGCACGTCGCGTCCATAGGGTTCCTTGATTCCCTTTTTCCTTTGTTTGGTTGGTTGCTGTGTTTTTGCTGTTGGGAGCATTCAGTGCTCGCGTAATAATTTCAGTGGCGCACGATGCGCCAGCGCGTCAGCCCTCCGCCCATACACACACACACGCACGCGAGCTTTAGATGCTCATCTTGCCGGAGATCATCTCGCCGACCATCTTGAAGTTGGCGTACACCGACCACAGCGGGTTCTTGAAGGTCGTCGGCTGCGTCTTCTCCACTGCGGCGTCGCCAGCCCAGCAGATGGCCGTCCCAACGGCAGCGCTGACCGCAGCACCGATGGCGTCCAGGCGTGCCACGCTTGCTGCGACGCCCACTGCGCCGACGACGGTCCCGACGAGGTGAACACGGCGCGTCCACTGCTTTGAGTGCTTCGCGAGGTAGTACACGTAGTACTCCTTCATGTTCGAGGCGGACACGTCGAGCTTGGCGCTGATGTTGACCATCTTGTGAACGGTGTTTCTTTCCTTGAGGGAGGGGAGGTGGCGGTGGTGGCTCGTGCAGAGGTATAATAGGTAAGTATATGGGTATAAGAAGAGGCAGACTATTTCGCTATGTCTTTGTTTTGATTCAAGAAAGGAAAGGAGAGGAAAGAAACGTCGGGTGCGAACCACGAACAGCAGAGCGGACTACAGTATACTACTACAGGGGGGGGAGGGAGGAAAGGCAAGAACTCTGGTGACGCAGGGAGCGAGATAGAGGAAGAGGCCCAACTAAAACTAATATGAAAAAGAATGATAAAATAGCACTCGTAATAATGAGAATGATATTGATAGTATTCTCAAGAAAAAATAAAAACGGGGTGGTAGCAGTTGGTTAGATGTGTATTGTCTCTTTCTCTTCTGTTTCTTCCAGGGGCGAAGAAGGAGGTCCCTTTTTCGCGGAGAGAGAGCGGCTTGGCTGTAAGAGGCGGAAAAACCTGAAGAAGTGGCGCGAAGAAAGCTTGTTTTTAAAAGGGTAAGAGAGAGAGAGCGTGAGCAGCAGAAGGTGGAAGAGATTTTAGCCGTTCTTCTTCGGCGAAGGAAAACAGAAGGAAAAAACACATAGAGGGGGTGCCATGGTACGAGAGAGGAAGAGAGGGCACGAAAGCCTCCTCCCGCTCGAGAAGGCTGCTGATACTTGCCTCCTCCTACGACGTCGTAATGCAAGAGGCAGCACCAGCCCTACACGTGTTTCGTTTTTTCATATTATTATTAGTTATTCCCAAGCTCACCTAGTCCATTTTACCTGTCTTTCCTCTGGTAGTGCGGAGAGAGAGGCAGAGAGAGAGGGAGAGGTTGCCGTCTGCAGCTGCCAGTTTTCAGCTGCTTCCCAACTTTCCCAGCGCGTTGTCTGCAACCATTTTTCCTCTTACGGTTCTGTGCTGTGGTGGTGGGGGGGCGGTGTTTCGGCTTCTCTTTTCGCTTTTTGTTTCCGTTGAAGTAGTGAACATGCCTGTCGCGACGCGGCGTCGCATACGCGCACGGTAGCGAGAAGGAAAAATCAAACTCAGCATGACGCATCCTCTCGCTGGTACGAAATAAATACTGCTTTTTTCTTTTAAAAGAAAACCGCAGAAAGGCTGCGCATCAGCGAAATAAAAGTTTGGCGTTTGCCGCAGAGTGCCTCCGCTCTGCGTCGCTTCGCTGCACTTCATTTTGGTTCGCAGAACTCTAAAAACATCGGGTATTAAAAAAGAAAAAAGGGCGAAATAAAGAAGTCAACAAGTTATGCGTTGCGGCACAACTCTTCTATGGTACATCGGAGCATCACGACAACCCTTCTCTGAAGAAGAAAGGGAAACAACCCAAAACAAACACGAAAGACACGCATCCTGGTAAGCGTAGTTGGAGTAACAGCACAGCAGAGCATCACACACACCTTCTAGCTCTTCTTGCCCTTCTTGCCTTTCTTGCCGGAAGTCGATGTCTTCGCCGCTGCGGCCGCCGCCTCCAGCTCCGCCACAGTGCGCTGCAGCTCCATGGCGAGCTCCTTGTACTCCTTGCGCTGACTCGACCACGCCTCCTGATCCGCCTTCATCTCAGCGAGGTGCTCCCGCTTCTTCGCCTCACGCGACGCCCCGTTCATCCGCCAGTCCTCCAACTCTAGCTGCGTCTGATGGAACTTCGCTTCGGCCTCCTCGCGCAGCTTCGCCTCGGCCGCCAACCGCTCCGCCGCGAAGGCCATGTCATCCGCGTGTGCCTCCTGCGCCTTCAGCAGGTCCGCCTCCAGCTTCGCGGTCTGCTCGCCGTACCGCACCTCCTGCTCCTTCGCGTTGCCGATCTGATCCTCCAACTCGCGAATCCGCTTCACAAAGTCGCTGTGGCCCTGCTTCGTCTGCAGGTCGAAGCTCTCGGTGGTGCGCTTCACCTCCGCGTTCTTCTCCCGCAGCGCCTCCAGCTCCAGCTGCGCCTCTGACAGCTTATACATTTGATAGTGCAGACGAACCACCTCCTCCTGCAGCGCGTCCGACGTCGCGTTGCCCGCCTTTTTGCGGTTCCGCGCCGTCGCCCGCTTCAGCCGCAGCACGACGTGATGCGGCACGCTCGTCCCGCTCAGCTCGCAGCGCACAACGTGGCGGTTGTTGTCGAAGAGCGCGGCAAAGGAGGCGCCGCCGTCCTGCGTGAAGTGGTTGTCGGCGACGTGCAGCACCTGCAGGGAGGTGTTCGTTTGCAGGGCTACACCGAGTGCGATGAGGCCGCGGTCGCCGAGCCACGTCCGGGCCACGTCCAACTCGATCAGCGTGGCATCCGGGTAGCCGAGGGCGGTGGCCAACGCGCACACGCCCTCGTCCTCAATTGCGTTTCCCGAGAGGAAGAGCTTCTCCAGACACGGGTGGCGGCACAGCGCACGGCCGAGCTGCACGGCACCGTCGGGCGAAAATTGGTTGTCCTTCAGCGACAGGACGGTGAGCGAGACGTTCGTCAGCAGCGATCGGCACAGCGCGAACAACGCGGTGTCGTCCAGCGCACAGTTGTCCAAGACAAGCGCCGTGAGCAGCGGGTCCTTGCCGAGGGAGAAGAAGAGGAGCATGCCGCACTGCGCGTTGGGCTGCGCCGCCGAGGCCGCATAAAACGCCGCGCAGGAGCCGCCGGCGGAGGAGGGCGAGAGGGACGACGGCGACGGCGCGGTGGGGGCAGTGCCCTGGTGGAGAGCCCGGGTGCGGTTGACGTAGCGGGAGCCGGAGGTGGTCGTCGGCGGTGCGCTCGACGCAAACCGACTCTTCTCCCCACCGCCACCGGCACTCGAGCTGTTGAAGCCGAAGCTGCCGCGTCGAGCCTGCGTAGCTGCCGCGCCGTTGTCACGCAGGTCGTTGTCCGACAGCACGAGCGACTGCAAGGCACACCCCTTTCCTCCGGTGCGGAAGATGGCCGTGCGCTGCTGCAGCAGCAGGCCCGCCGCCTCGGCCACGCTGGAGGAGAGGCCATTCTCGCTCATGTCGAGCCGCAGCAGCGTGTTACTGGCACCGGCGGCGTCGAGCAAATACGCGGCCCCGCCGTCACTCAACCCCACCGCGCGTAGGCGGGCGTGGGTGAGCGTTGTGGAGGTGCGAAAGAGCTGGGCGAGGAGCTCGACCGGGGTGCGGGGGCCGGACCGCGTGCCGTAGCCACCGCCGCCGCCGCCCATCATCATTCGCTTATGCACGTTGCTCGCTTGGCTGCTGCGGCCCTCCTCCGCGTTGGCAGGGGTGGTGGCCGCTGCGGACGCTGCGCCGCTGTTTCGAGGTCGGCCCGCGTTCCTCGCGCCGCCCGCCGCCGGGCTGTCGGCCCCCACGCCGCCTCCCCTACCGCCGTTTGCGCTGTCCGACCCGTCCGCCCCCTCGCCGGCCGATCGCCGCGCCACCTCCACCGGTGCCACGCAGTTCACTGCAAAGGGGTTGCCGCTGAAGTCCAACCTCTTCAAGGTGCGACTCAGCACGCAGCCCTCTAGAATGCACACCGCCCCCACCTCCTCAATCTGGTTCGCGTAGGACTCCTCCTTCGCGGAGCCGAGAATGAGTACGGACAGCTTCTTGTGCTGGGCGATGGCGGTGCCGAGGCCTTGCATCGCGGAGAGGTAGCGGCTGCCGGTGCGGGCGGCGTTGCTGCCTCCTCCACCTCTGCCACCACCTCCACCTCCATTCGTCCGAGACAGCAGGCCGATGCTACCCCCTCCCAGTGCGGACTCGGCCGCACCTGTCGTGCCGCGTGTCGCCTGCCGCCCGCCAGCACCTCCAGGGGTCGTGGAAGAGTTGCCCAGCGCGTTCGCGCCCATGTCGAGGTACGTGAGGTGCGGCATGTCTCGTACCACCTGTACCAGCAGCTCACACCCGACATCGCGCAGCACGTTGCCGTGCAGGTCTAGCTTCACGAGCGTGGACTGGTGTAGCAGCGGTACGAGGCTGTTAATGAAGTTTGCACCGAGCCTCTGGCGGCGCAGGAGGACCTGCTGATTACCGAAGCCCTTGTCGATCATGGCGGTGTAGAGCCGCTTCACCTCCGTGCTGTTCTTCTCGTGCGTGTCGCGGAGCCAGGCGGCGTACATGTCGCCGTACACTTGTTCTGCGGAGAGACCGAGCGTCGTGTACATCGTGAAAAGGGGGGGTGGTAAGACGTGCCTCCTTGGTTCTCCTTGTGTTGTGTGTATATGTCTAACAAAGACCGCGAGAAGTAGTGCGTAGAAGCAGGGCCGTGTTCGGACCTACCTTGCTTGGCGTGTTTGGATCGACACAGCGTCGTTCCGACAGAAACCCGCTTCGATGATGTGCAGAAGGGAAGAAAATAAGATGCGGAAGAGAAGTTTTTTTTTTCAGAAAGTACGAAGGTCCGGTTTGCGTGTTGTCTCCCTCTTGGGATCAACATGACTTACCGAAGCATAATCGGCAGCTACAAATGCCCAGCGAGCGTGACGCAGCGGTAAAGCAACAAAGAAGATACATAGAGAGGTATATCGGCCTCAGCATCGCTCTGTGCCCTTCAAGACACCCGCAATCGAGCAATAGCGCAGGTAGATGGGAGCACCTTCTATTTACCTTTTTACAGTTGTTCTTGCTGTTCATTTAACTGTCTGTATCAGTGTGTGTGTGTGTGTTTGAGGAAAAGCCTGCGCTAGAGGTCAACGTGGCCTCACACAACGCCGATGCCGGCAGACGCTAACAGTGGCCAGCAGTAGCACCGACCCACCCACCCCCCCCCCTCCCCCTCTAACCACGACGAGTAGAAAAGGGAGAGGCGAAAGCAAGAATGCGACGCGTGCACGCGAATGCGCTTCACCGCAGCCGAGTCAAACACCACATCTCCCATTATACAAAAGAATGTACTTTCGTCCGATCAAAAACGAAAGCTGGAAAGAGATGTTCGTCTCTCTCTCTCCCTCTCCCCCTCTACTCACGCCTCTTGCGTCCTCTGCTCACTCATCTGTCGCTCCATCCGCTGCGAGCGCGGCGCGGTCCTTCTGCGAGAGCCCCAGCCGTCGTCGCACATAGCGATCATTCGAGTTCGGTGTCATGATAATCGTCTGTGTCTTGAAGGGACCGAAGTGTACGTGCAGATCGGAGCGCTCCGTTGATGGCAGCTGGCTCTCCAGCCGTGTCACCTGGTCCTTGTCCGAGAGACTTACATCAATCAACGGCGGAAGGGCAATGTCCGTCGTTGGGAGGTCTAAATAGGATGGCTTGTCTAGTCGCAGGTGCGGAGGCAGGCTTTCGTTGCTCGGGAAGGTGCCAGCTTCGAGCAGCTGCTTGTACTCGCCCATCATCACGAGATACGAGCAGCGGCTGTAACCGGTGTTGAAGCCGGAGCGCCGTAGCACGAGCCAGAACATGATGATGGACGTCGCACCGCTCCACAGCGCAATGGCGAAGAAGCGGTTGCGGTGCTTGACGATGATCTGCATCTCGCACGCGTGTGTGTGTGTGTGTGTGTGTGGACAGTTCTTTTGGGATTCGCTCCACTCCTCTCTTTTTTGGTGATGAAGGTGACCTGCCTACTGTTGTTGACCGCACATTACAAAGTGCGTTGTTCGCCTCCTCCTCTCCCCTCCCAGCGTCGCCGTGTGGAAGATGCAAAGGAGCACGAGGAGAGCAGCCGCAGAGAGAAAGACAGTGGGGAGAGAAACACACAGAATAATACGAGGATGATAAATCAAATACTTAACATCAGAAAAAAAAAACAAGAGGGTCTTGGCACTTACAACGGGGAAGTCGGCGCACCAACAACGTTCGAGGTCACGCGGTCTAACGCCTCGTAGACAGGGCTGTCAGTCCATAAGTACATATTACCAAGCGTGCGTCAAGCTCTTGAAGAGCACGTGCTAACCCGACCACCGACGACACGCGAGCACCGCTGGCATATCGCCTCATACTGACGTCCTTCCTTTTTCTTTCTTCCATTTGACGCTGAAATCAAAATCAAGCATCCGCTTGCTGGAATGCAGGGGGGGGGGAGAGAACTAAAGTGAAAGAGTGCGTAAGCAGCGGTGACAGCCGTTTTTTCTTTCCTTCTTCCGTCTTCTCTTCCTTGCAGCGCGGTCCAGCCCTAACCAAAAGCGGCGCGCGCACCACAGCGCAACTCCTGCTTTCTATGGGTAGTGAGTGCCTGCCCCCTTCGTTGTGTGCCGCTTACGACGGCACGGAAGCGTCCCACAGACTCTGCATCGTGGCTCCTTTGCGCAGCTTCTCCACCGCCAGCCCGATCGACGGCTCATAGACGGGGCGGCGGTCCGCGCCCTTCTGCCCCTCATCGGCGTAGTACGCGGCAAACGCATCACTCGGCGCATCCTGCACCACGTCGTGTCCCTCCAGCTGCCGCTCTGACTTACCTGCGCCGCCGCCGGTGTTGCTCTTCATGAGGGCGTCCCACACCCGTGCCTGCTGACTGCTGCGCTGCTGGGCTCCTGTCTTGGGCAGGTCCTCGTCGTCCAACGTGTCCTCGAGCATCGAGGCGGACATCGTGTCTTGCAACTCCACGTGCATCCCTAGTATCGGCCGCGCCGTCCAGGTGCGCCACAGCGAGCCGATCTCGGTATACATCTCCTTCAGCTTCTCATCCGAGTCAACGCGGAAGCCGAGGACGAAGTTGCCGGCGTAGCTCGACGTCTCTATCACCAGCGTCTGCCCAAACCGACTCTGTTGGGACCGCAGCCCGGTGAACTGTAAGTAGGGCACCGACACGTTAAACGACTCCGCCGCCGCGAACCACACAACGCGGATGTTCGTCGCGACAAACACGCCGATAACACCCTCCTCCTTACTCACGTTTGTAATGCCGGCGTTGCGAGAGATGACCTGCTCGCCCGGCAGGAGAACGACGTTGCCGCCCTGCACGACGGCCCCCCGCACGCGCAGCTCGCGGTAGACGCGGGTGCTGTCGTAGGCGCTCCGGACAGCGTGGACGGTGGCGTGCAACCGCCGCTGCGCCGCCGCATCCTTCTGCGCAAGCGCGGTGCGCTGCGCGGTGGCCTCTGCGTGGGTGAGAAGGGTGTTGACCTGACCGGCAGACCCGCCGTGTCCACTACTGCCACTGCCACCGCTTGTTCCGCCCTCGGCGCTGCTGGGGCCGTGCACCACGGAGAAGAGAAATTGAAAACGACTGGCGCCGAACTTCGCGTTGATCGTGAGGGACTCCGTCGTGCCCCCGGCCATCTTCGACTGCGTCTCCTGCGCCGTCACCTGCTGCATGCAGTAGTAGCCGATGCTGAGGTTCAGCGTGCTGCGGGCTGTACTCCACCACAGCAGCCGCAGGTTTGTCACGAGCAGCACGCCTGAGTGGCCGCCGTTGCCCTTCGTATCCTCGACGTTTTTGAAGGTGGCGTAGACGTGCTCGGTGTTGTCGCGGAGTTGCAGGACGGAGACGGGCGAGTCGAAGCGAATCTCTCGGTCCTGCCAAAAGGAAAACGCCTTGGTGATCCCCTTCGCGGGCTTCGCGGACTTTCGATTCTTCGGCATCGCTTCGTAAAAGCGAAGAGACGGGAAAAAAGAATGGAGTTGAGGTGAGAAACCGAGAAATATTGAAAAACAAAACAAAGCAGATAATAGTAATACGCAAACCCAGTGGACTAGGCAGGAAGAATAAGCAGAATTGGGTAGTGAATGGGTTGATGGGTGAGCAGATCACACCAACGCTGCGTGTGTGTGTGGGTGTGTGGGTGGGTGGGTGTATGCCTGTTTGCCTCCTTCAAAGGAGGCGGGGGGGGGGGTGACAAGCGTTAGCAATCCTTGTCTGAGCTTCTTCAGACAGAGTGATCACGCAGAACACCAAAGAACAGCAGGAGGATTAGAAGACGTCGGGCGTGGGGTAAAGAGGGTTTGTAGGAGTAGCGGCACCGCATACATACACAGCCGAATAACCGTTTATATTATTATTATTATTTCGCTCCTTGCTTTCCTTCAGTGCCAAGGAGGAGCTGTCCGTTGCAATCCCATTTTCTGAGGAGCGAGCGGCGAAATGCGCTCTGACCTTGCAGCTTGAAGTGTACCTCATTGTCCCCCACCCCCTCAAGAGTAGACGCAGAAGGCCATCAGGGGAGCCGCCTTTGGGCACTACACCTTCAAGAACGACCAGCACAGGAAGCCGTCGCAGCCCAACAACCGTATGGACGTCTTTGTGAGAGAGAGCACATGCACATGCACATTAGGTGTTGCGTCAGCTTCACGCCGTGCTCGATGCACGTCCGCGCGTCAGTACTCTTCAATTCTGTTTCTTCTCGGTGCTATGACAGTGATGGAATCATTCCTAACAAAATCAGAAAAACAGGCGAAAGGAGGAGAAATAATAAAATAATATAAAGTTAAAACACCAACAAATTTTCAATAAACCAGCACAAACCTCAGCAAGGATAGATGTGTGAGACACTACTATTACTAGTACTACTACTTTACGAAGAGGGTGGGGGTAAAGGACACCATGAACAAGAAGAAGAAGTCCATATATATATATATATATATATATATGTATATGCAATGTGAGGCTTTCGCTTTCGAATCTATGTCGTACCTCAACACACAGTCTCACATGAAAATATATATGTATATGTCCCTTCATCGCCGTCGCTTTCCCCCATGCTCTTCTCCTTTCCTCCGCCTAATAATATACTTTCTTTTCCAGAATATGAAAAGCACACAAAGTGAAACATACGCGAGTCCTACAAAAGGAGAAAACTGAAAACAAAAAAGAAGGTAATAGCGGCCGCGGCTGCTGCGTCTTCAACCGATCTTCTCTGCCACCCCCGTCGCCGTCTCTCCCCCTCGCTCACCGTGCTAAGTAGTAAAGCGAAAACGAAAGCATAAGTGTAAATAATAAATATATATATATATATTAGAAAGAGAGAGAACACCGAATGAGCCGGGCGGTGAAACACGCAACACGCGCACATCAAGAACGCGAACAACAAAGCCCAAAAACAAGGGAGAACGCTTCTTTTTAAAAAATAATAAAAGCCGCGGTGGTTGCTCCCGTGGTGTGCAATGGCAACGCCGCACCTTCCACACCGCAGCACCGCGGAGCTTTCCACCGTGGCTCTCTTCTCATTTTCTCCTTTCTTCGTTTCTTCGCTTCAGGCACGAAGGCTTCAGATCAGCTTAGTTCTTGGTGGCGAGCTTGCGCCACTCGCGCATCTGCTTCACCAGCTGCTGATGCTCCGCGTTCTTCGTCAGCTCCGCCGCGCGGGCGTAGATCTCGATAATGCGGTCATCACCGTTGTACTCGTGCACCTGGTGCGACCAGTCCTCCAGCTGCTGCAGGTCGCTGCAGCCCTTGATCGCCTCGACGGTGATGGCGCGGGTCGGGTCGACGTCGTCGAGCAGCCCCGCCACCGTCTCCTTGAGATCCGCATCGTAGCCGCCGGTCTTCGCCTCCGCCGCGTACTCCTTCGCGACGCTGTCCACGATGTCGAGCATCTGCTTCCGTGCCGCCGGGTCATTCGCCGCGACCGTCTGAAAGTCATCGAAATACACGATGTGGTATTTCTCCGGCAGCCAGGCGGTAAGCCGCGCGCCGATCTCCGCACGGTCGGCCGGGTGCAGCTCCGTGTTGAGGTTCCAGCGGGTCTTCTCGCGCAGCGAGTTGGGCGAGCCGCCGGGCAGGATATCGAGCCGGTTGTCCTCGGCCAGCTCATTCGCGCGGATGCACTTCACGTACTTCATCTCTGCCTGCACATGCTCCTCGTCGAAGATGCGCGCAATCATGGCGTTCTCCACGCGCTCGGCATCCGCGCCGGTGCCGGCCTTCTTGTCCTTCAACAGCTGCTGCGCACGTGCGACGGTGTTCGACTGCTTCTCGAGACGGTACTTGATCTCGTTGCCGAACTCCTTGCGGTTGAGGTGCGTGTTCAGGCGGTCCGCATCGAAGAGGAGGCACTCGTAGCTGGAGGCGAAGTCGATGTGCGGCAGCACGCTCTTCGCGAAGTTCGTCTCCTCCTCCGTCTTGGCGCGCGACTTCATCCAGGTCGGGGGCTCGCCGGTGAACTTGTAGTTGTGCGAGTCCAACTCAAGAGCGTGGCCGTACCAACGGTCGTGGTCGTAGCGGCGCTGGCAGGACAGGGAGGAGGAGGTGGCCATGGCGGCCGCACCCACGGCAGAGGACACAGCACGGCGCGTGAACATTGCTTTGTGGCGGAAACTGTTCTGCTTATTGGCTGTGGTGGCGGTGGTTGCTGTCTTTGCGTTTTTTTGATATCTGTTTTTTTCTTCCGTTAAGGGAGATAATGGATAGATTGATATGGTGGGTGGTTGGTACAGAGATGGGAGCTGCGTTGCCGAGACTAGCTACTACTTACTGCGATAGGAAGGGGGAGTGGTAACGTGAGACACAATACGTGTGTGTGTGTTTGTGTGAATGGGCGCGTTGCGAACAGAAGAAAAGAAAGCGAAAGGTTGAAGGCAGACTGCCGCAAGAGGCCGCACGCGCAGCGGCAACCGTTTTGACTACATCACCTTCACACCCATAGTGTCTTATGAGGTTTTCTCCCTTCTTCCGGTAGGGCGTATTGGACCCAAATGCGAAGGCGACCGCTGTTTTTAACGCGGGTGCGTGTGTGCGGGTGCGAGTGCAGCGCCGACGCAGCGTGCTCAAAGGAATGCAAAGGACGTCGCCAACACGTCGACAGCGCTGTGCAGCGGGAGCTCAAAGGACGCGCACAGCACGGTGCAACGCACACACACGTGCTCGCCTCGACATCGTCGCAACGGTGTTTGATCACGCATCTCAGACGCACACAAACACGCACACACACACATACACATATATATATACAGATGCTTGGCATCGGCTTGCATGAGCCCTCCTTTCATCCTGAACTCCAACAACTGCCGCTACTTCTTCTCCATATTGTTTCTTTCAATCGTTTGTCGCCGTGTGCGATGGTGTCGGCACAGACAGCCAAACACATACACACACACACACACACACACACACATACACATGGAAAACGGCATCCTAGAAGAGCACCAAGAGTACGCCCTTCTCAGAGAAGGGAAACACACAGGTCATATCAAAGCCTTCAACAACCGACAGGGGAGGGGGAGGGGGAGGGGGCCAAAGGGGTCACGTTATGGAAGGAAACGGCACAGCGGGGAAAAATACAAAAAATTCAAAACCGAAAAAAGAAGATAAAAGGCAGGTGATTCAACGATCGGTGTTGCCGTGAGGGAGAAGTAAATGGTTGCGTTGTGTTGTGCAGGGAAAGGAAAGAAAAAGGGGAGGAAACAAAAGGGAACCGATGAAAACTAAAACAGAAACAAACGAACATGGAAGATGTAAGCGCCAGGCGACCACCGCCACCACCACCGTGCGTGCGTGTGTATGTGTGTGCAGCGCAGGTGCGGCGTGAAAACAAGACGAGAAAGCGTTGTACCGAAAGCGCCGAGTACACAACGCAGCAAACAAAAATAAAGAAAGGAGATAAAGATAAATATAAATATATACGAACCCTACGATGATGCTTTGGAGCAAATAATTTAAAATCAGAGAGACGCACACACACGCGAAGCGAGAGGGGAAACCGCAAAAAACAACACTCTCTCTGTTTTAAACAACCCGCACCTTCTCTTCCTTCTCTTCCTCCTCTTCTCTTTCTTTCTTTCTTGTTTGGGGAAGGAGGAGGACGAAAGGTCAACAACGGGTGTGGAACCGGCAATACGAAGGCGGTTGAAACAGCGCAAATGCAAAAACATTATCAGCGGCTGTCGATAAACGCCGTCTCCCCTCTCCGTTGGGTTCTATATATATGTAAGTGTATGTGTGTATGTCGTGACAGCAACGCAAGAGAGCAGAAAGCCGAGTGCATAAAAGGAGACAACAGAAACAAAGAGGAAGAGGAGTACGACGTCAAGTGAAAGGAGACGTCAACGCTTGCTGGAACAGAAAAAAAGGACGTTACCGCCATCACTCATCCCTCTCCTCCTCCTCTCCCCTCATCCCGAAAAAAAACAGCAACAATAAAGTGCATTTCCAAGTCTCTTCCGTTTTCAACCTCGCAGCGGTTGAAACCCTCCGCGGCTGTGCAGCGGACCTTGGAGATGTCACGAAGTATCAGATACGAAGATATAACATCCGGTGTGCATATAAAAGAAAAGCACAGCAAAAAAAAAAATGGCGCACGGTTTGGTGCTGACCGGTACGCGCACGAGCGCACCAGCAACAAGAACAAGAAGAACAAACAAAACAAACAAACAAACAAAGGCCGTAAACCAAAGGCTCGGAGAAACTCGGGAGGCAGCGACCATGGGAAAAGGGAAAAGCGAAAAAAAAAATGTTTGTACAGGGGAAAAGTAAATATATATGTTACACAGCGTCCACGAAGGTACAACAGGAAAAAACCATCAGCTGACCGGCAACGACGACGAAGGTAGAAAGCAGCATAGAATGAAGAAAAAGAACGCAGACGCCTCGAATTCACTTGCCCAAAAATTCAAAAGAAAACGAATAGCAGTGAAAACATCTATTTCTTGCTATTCATTAAATTACAGGGCCACAGATGTGTACATCTCGGTGAAGGACACGTCAACAGAAGTCGATCACACGCGTTGTGCATGCGCCCCGCAGCACCGCTGAGCAGAACAACGCGCAGCAAGAGCAAAAAAAGAATAAAAGGAAAAACAGAGCTGCTTCTTTTCTCACCCATCCTGAGTTTTTCCCCTCCGTTTTTTGGCGAAACACACAAAAGGGAAGAGCAGGGGGGAGGTTGCTGTACTCCGTATTAAAGCAACAGACATTCGCTCATTACTCCTGGTTTAAAAATAGCATTAATTGAATGTGAACCGCCTCCCTCCCTCTCTCATCTACGCGTTGTGCGTCGTGGCGGGACTGGAGAAGCTGGTGTTCTTCAAGAAAAACGGGGCGAGGCCCAGCTCATTAAACTCGGAGAGCGAGTAGGCCGAGTTGAGGCCCACCATCGTGCGACTATCAAAGACGTACACGCACAGCAGAAAAACGTCGAAGGTCACCTCTACCCCCTCCGGTACGCGGTGCTTCATAAACTCGTAAATCGCATCCTTCTGCGGCTGGGTCAGCTGCTTGCGCATCCCGCGGCCGAGCTGCAGCATGCCAGCCATGAAACGCTCCTTTGACAGCGTCTTGTCCTTCTGCGTAACGCGGAACAGCGACGGCAGCTGGCTACGGCCCTGAATGACGATGTTCTGCAGCTGCTCCATCGCGTCGATGTCCCAGCGCAGGGGGTCTGGCTTGCCGTTTGCGATCTGCTGCACCTTCTTGACAAACTCCGGTCCGCTGATGTGCCCGTTGCCCTTCTCATCGAAGGACTCAAACAGCTGGAAGAGTTGGCAGTCGCTCGTCGTGTAGTCGATGGCGCGCATGACGGAGCAGAACTCGTTGTAGTTCACCACCTCCTTGTTAAAGGCGGCCGAGACGAGCTGAGAGCGGCGGTTGGCGCGTTGCTGCTGCAGCACCCGCGCGCACACCGACTGCCGCCAGTCGTCCTTCCACAGCTCCTGAAAAATGTTGTGGAAGTGATTTAGGAAAGGGGCGTACCATATGCGGGACTGGTCATCCACCTCCACCAGGTACCCTCGCAAAAAGTACCAGGGAAGATCGAGGTTCAGCACGTTGCGCATCGACTCCACCCACTCAATCATCCACAGTGAGCCCTTATTCGTCCGGTCCAGCTTGGAGAAGTACGCGAGCAGGCGGTGCCGGCGCTGGAAGACGCGCTCGCGTAGCTCTCGCAGGATATCGTCCTTGGTGCGTCGTTGCGTGAGCATGCGCGTGACAAAGCTGCTGAGGTTCGTCCCACCGCTGCCGCTGGCACCGGCGAAGGAGTTAATTTTGATTAAAGTCGGGGTGGTGAGGGCAAAGGAGTCGACCAGGCTCACGAGCTGCGGCTCATCGTACTCGTCCTCGAACATTTGGAAGGTGTGGTAGGCGGGCTCCATGTTGTCTCCAATAAAGGTACACGTCGCGCCGTAGTTCGAGTTCGGCCCATCGTAGTTGCTGGCCGAGAAGACGGTGAGCAGGCGGCGGTTGTGGTGCTCCTCGTACCCGCTAAGGCACTCCTCGTGCGAGCGCACGACCAGCTCCAGCTTGTTGTTGTCGAGGAACTCGTTCGTTACGTCGGCGCCGAACTCCACCCCCGCGCCGCGCTGACTCTCGCGCCAGCCCTTAATGTCCTCTACGGGGTCTGACCACAGCAGATCCTGGAAGATTTCATCCTCCTCCGGCTGCGAGTAGTTCGGCATCGGGATCTGGCGGAAGCGCTGAATGCGTGAGATGTCGTTGATGCCGACGCCCTTGCGCCGCGGCAGACCGCCGTGCACGACAAATATTTTGCCCCCTACGATGGTGGCCAGCGGGAGGGCACAGAAGCACCGCTGAATGAGGCGGAATACGTTGCGGTCGTACTTGGTGCTCACCTCCACATCGAAGCCGTACTCGTCGTTCATGTAATCACACTCGTGGTTGCCGCGGTTCAGCGTCACGTACTTGGGGCAGGCGAGCATGAGCGAGAAGAGGACCAAAATGATCTCCACCCCGCACGCGCCGCGGTCCACGAAGTCGCCGTTGAAAATGTAGTAGTTGCTCTCACTCGGCATCCCGCTCTCCTTCAAGATGTGCAGCAGATCCGCGATCTGGCCGTGGATGTCGCCCACCACTACCACCTTGCAGCCCTGGCTGACACGCCCGTTGCTCACGCGGGCGCCAACGGGCGGCGACACCCGCACCACGTTCGGCATCGTGTTCAGGTGGTTCATCGCGTCGGTGAAGACGCGCCAGGCGGCCGGGTAGGGGAGCAGGATGTGGCTCTTGAGATCCTTTAGCATCCGCTCGACGTGCTCCAACGTGATGGGCACACTCGTGCTGACGGGGAAGTAGTGAGAAGAGGTGGCCGGGGCCACCACCGGGGCTTGTATGACCGACCGCGACCGCTTCGGTGCCATCACGTGCTGCTCATTGACCTTGTCGTGTGCCTTGAAGATGGCAAAGCCTTCCTTCTTCAGATCCATCTCCTTGTACACGCTGCGGAAGATCGTCTCCTCGATCATGGCCTTGCACTTGATCCAGCGCCACAGCAGCTGAATGCGGGCGACGTTGTACGACCTGCTGGCCGCTACATCGTTTTCCTTTCCAGGCGGGATATACTTCTTCCGCAGCGCCTCCGTCGCGAAGGGGCCGTTCACAAAGCGCACCTTGGACAAGATCGTCCTGGGGCACCACTTATGGATGCGGGTGATGCACAGCTCCCCGCACTGCGGGCACGGCTTCGGCTGGCAGCTGTCGCGGTGGGCCTGCATATCAATCGCGAGGATCTCTACGCCGCACTTGGGGCAAATCGCCTTCTGCTTCTTCCCACATTCCTCCAGATGCTTCTGCAGGTCGCCCTGGCGGACGATCTTGCGGCACCACGAGTTCCAGCACGTGACCTCGCGCTCGTCGCACATCACGGTGTGGGCGTTGTACTCCTTCTCCGGGATCTTCTTGTGACAGAAGTGGCAGGTCGGCCAGCGGCTTTGATCGGTGTTGCCCTGCTGGCGCAAGAGGAAGCCGCCACCGCCGTTGTTGTTCGCGCCGGAGGACTTGGCCCTGCCGAAGCCATCCACCTTCGCGACTCCGTCGTTGTGGTTGTGTTTGCCCGACTTGCTATTGTTGCTGCTGCGCTCGCCGTGTCTGCTCTCCTTCGAGGTGCCCGTCGACGTCGCAACGCCCTCCTTCGATGAGTCGCACCCCATCTTTTGGTTTCCTGTGGTTGTTTGATTAGAAGCGTAGTAAATAAATATATAGATATAGAAAATAGACAGAAATATATTACTCCTCGCGCTCGTTCTACCGTTTCACTGCTGGTGGGCTTTTGTTGGCGTTGTTGATGCTTAAGGACAGAAAAGGAAGGACAGAAAAGGAAGGACGATAGACAGCACACACGCACACACACACGTTGAAGGAGCGTCGCTGCTGTTCAAACCAACGAGGGAGCCTGAGATCGTTGCGCCTCCTCATTCATCTCCATTTTTACCTCTCTTTGCGTGCCTCACTCGCCCTCGCTTGCGACACAATTTGGAAACCAAAAAACGGCCGTTTCAACACTCGCTGACCGCCAGTCGAGGCGACGGCTGTGAACGTGAAGTGAGGGCGGTGGTCGCACTCTGTCCTAGCATTGCTTTTCATTTCGATTCGTTGATGCGGTGTACACCTCACCGTATTAATGAAAAAGAGAAGAAAAGGAAAAGAGAAAGGCATTCGTCCGTTTTTATTACTTTTGTCGCTCGTGAAGCGTCCTAATCAATCAGCAGCTTCACCCGGCGCTCGGTGCGATTGTGCCGGGTGCCCTCCGCGTCCGTCCCGGCGCCGCCACGACCACTCGCCGCAGCCCCCGCCGCAACACCCGACTGCGTCCCTTCGGCCGACACCGACGTGCGAAAGCCAATGCCGTGCCGCAGTCCACTGCTGCTGCCGCCACCACCGCCGCTGTTGGCGGATCGCGACGGCGTGTGAAAGGACAAAGGCGCGTCCTCACCCACCGCAATCGCAGCCGATGTCGTAGTGGGCGACGGGCTGCGTGCGTCTCCGCCGGGGCTGCCGACGACGACTCCGCTTCTACGCGACGCGGCAGATCGCTCGTGCGGTGCCGCTCCGTCCTCTACATCGAAGGCCGGCAAAGGCGAGGGGGTCGCCGTCTCCCGCCGGCCCCCGTCGGTGTGCTTCACCATAATACTCGGGGCCAGGGCGCTGCTCGGGGGTGGGGGGAAGCCGTGGCTGTAGGGGGTGCGCACCGCCGAGGCCGCGCCGTCGTCCAGCACCCCGGCAGAGCCCTCGCGGCTCGCCGCGCCGCCGCCGCCGCTGCCGCTTCCTCCGTCGGGCATCATCAGCGAACCGCTGGCGGCCACCACCGCGTTTGGGTTGTACCCCGCCGGAGCGGAGGAGAGACGCGTGCCGCCGCCCACGACACCCAGGGCTGTCACGGGACGGAGCGGGAGGGCCTCGCCGCCGCCCAGGGGCACTCCTCGCGGAACGTTCGACAGCGCGGCCAGTGGTAGAGGCTGTCCGGCGGCGGTGGTGGCGGCTGCCGCTCCTCCCTCAAACCCGGCGCCGCTCATGCTTGCCTTCTTTGGTGTCGTGTGCATCGACCCCTCGCCGGAGATGCTGTTGCTGCTGATCGTGTGACTCGTCCAGTTACGACTCCCTGTTCGCGCACGGGCCATCAGTGCCTGTTGGCTGCTCGCCCCGCTGCCGAAGGGGTCGAAGGAGTCTTCGCTGTCTCTTTCCTCGCTGAAGGGGGCCGGGGTCCAGGAAAGGGAATGCGGCTGCTGTGCGGGGCGCGAGTGCGGGTGGTGGGGGGTGCCACCGATGCTGTTCTCTAAAGAGGCGCCCGCCCCAGCGGCGCCGACCCCTGGCGGCTGCCAGCCGGTGCCGGTCAGACCCGTGGTGTTCGCCTCCACCGACCCTCGCTGCTTCCTACTGTCTTTTGGGGTTAGCGACAGCGATCCAGAGAAACGGCGCTCCATCACCTTCGACAGCAGCCCTCCTCCTGCCTCTTCATCCTCGTCGGTCTCGCTGTCGCTGTCGCCGCTCTGCTCGCCCTCGCCCTCCTCCTCGCGCTTCTTCTCCGTCTCCCTCCCACCGCTGCTGCTGTGTCGGTGCCGCCCTTTGGCACGCTTGTCCTTCTCCTTCTTCCGCCGCCTGTGCGCCTCCTTGCGCCGCTGGTAGTTCTGTTCCTCGCCGAGCATCTCCTCGTAGCGGCGCTGCTTCTGCTTGCACAGTGCCATGGCGGTGTGGTGCGCATCGACCGTGTTGTGCAGCGCGCGCATCTCCACATCACTGGGGTCCTCTTCCTCGCCGTTGGCTCCTTTCTCACCTCGCGTGCTCGTCGGGTGGGTGTAGCCGCGCTTCGTGAGCCGGTAGGAGCACAGTTCCTCCATGAAAGTGGGAGGCATCGCTTTGCCGGTAGAGGCGGAGACCGTTGGCTGCAGGCGCGAGGGTCGGCCCTCCACCGGAATGTTCAGCAGCTGGCGCATGACCGCGCGAGATGAGATGGTGCGCTCATCGCGAGGGTTTTCCTCATCGAAGGCCTTCAGTGTTTCGTGAAGGCCACGACGGTGCATGAACTCCCGCAGCAGAGCCTGGGCGAGCAGCTCGGCCTGCTCTCTGCAGGAGAGGGCCGCAACGAGGCGCGCCGTCTTGTCCTTCTCGGAGGCGGACGGGGCAGCGTTTGCCATCTTTCTTACTTTTGACGTATTTCTTTTCGTCCTTATGTTTTTTTGTAAAAGGGAAGGGAGGGGGAGGTGCCCTGCTCGCCAATGGATTGTCTAACGCTGCAGCAAGAAGTTTAAATGGATGCTACACCACCTCGATAACGTATTACAGCTGTTCTCTTTCATTGAAGCACGACGGGGCGGAGAGAGAGAGAGAGAGAGAGGCCGTCGCTTGCGCACGCCCCCACACAGAGTACACTGGAGTATTTTTCTTGTCTGACACTTCTTCTACCTTATGCATACATATACACAGAGAGATATACATAGATATCGTGCAAGGGAAAAGCTATGCACTTTATAATGGGAGAGAAAAGGAAAACAAAAAAGAGCGTGTGCGTTTGCTTAGCTTGCTTTCTCCAACGGGTGCGTGGAGCAACGGCAGTGACGCGGTCGACGGCACCGTTTACGCGAGTGTGACGAGGAGGCACGAGAGAAACCCAAAAAAAAATGTGGATCAGAGGAGGACAGGCGGGGGGGGGGGGAGGGGTGGAAGGAGACAATGAAATGGAGGGAGGGGGGAATAAGGCCATTTCCCCCGGCGCTGTTGCGGGCCGGCTGGGCCAGGCGCTTTCACGTGCCCAAGCAGAGGTACTTGCATTCAGCTTCTCATCCGCTAGAGTAGTCGTCCGACCGGTCGAAACGGGCAACGAATGTGCCACATCTCTCTTGCGCAGCGACGCACAATGAAAGAGAGGAAGAGTAATGCGGTGTGGTCAGCCCACGCGAAGATGCGTACATGAGCGTTGTCTCTCTCTCTCCCTTCTGAGAGGTATTTTCTTCTTTTCTTTGTTTGAAGCGTACAAGTCAGGCAGAACAAGCGAGTTGAGGCAACAGCGGTCGATAATAAAATGTCGACGTGTGCCACGTGTGGGTGTGTGGGTGGGTGCGCGGGTGGGTGTGTGCACACCTCACCAGCAAAGTACACGCACACTGAAAGCGAAAGGTGATTTCTATTGTTTTCCTTTTCAAAATAAGCCACCGAAATGTATGATGGGGAGAAACACAAGTACGTTGGAACAATACACGTGCGTCCGCGGCGCGGCACTAACACCAAATTAGAAACAAAAAAACAGCAATCACCGCATGTGCGCGAAGAGAGAGAGAGACATAAAAGGGAAAGAAAGAAAAAGAGAAAACAAACAAAACGAAGCAACAATACGCATATACCCGCCTCCACCGCCACAACGAGACCGCCTGTCTGCGGGGAAGGAAAACAGAAAAAGGCACTGCGCATGCGTCTCTATGTAGCCGCCGGAGTCTCACAACGCCCCACCTGTGAGAAGGGGAGGACAAAAAACAGACCAGAACAGACAAAGAACAGGGAAAAAAAATTTTCATGGCAACCTCCAGCGTCTTCATGTGAGTGTTTGCAGCATCACGCGTCTCCTCAGCACTCAGTCAGTCGAGGCAGACACACACACACACACGCAGACGAGAAAACGCAGTTAAAAGCTCGATGAGCACACACGACAAGAGAAAACTCTTTAAAAAAAAACTCACAGCTTGATGCATCTATGAAACGGTGAAAGAGGGAAAAGATATATATAATGTATTGCAAAAGCGAAGGAGCGTTCGCCGTAGATCCTTACCTGGGTTCCTTCTCGCCGTGATGGATTCTACGTCTTCAAAGCTGCAGGGACACCGCAAGGGTCAACAGCCGACACACAAACGCACGCACACTCCGCGTCGAAATGAAAGCGCCAAAAGAAAAAAGGAAAATGAAAACACAAAATTAATCATCGCCACAAACCAAAGGAATACGAAAGACCCCCTGACGCGCCGCTAAACCTGTCGCCACACCGTCGAGTTGAGGTAGTTATAGCCGCGGCGCCAGTTTAACGCATCGGGGTTGCGCTCGAACTGCATCCACTTCTTCCGGCACACCTCACGGGAGTACTTCTGCGGGGACTTCAGCGAAAACAGCACCCACTCCTCAAAGCAGTTGTCCTCGTTGCTGAAGTTGTGCAGGGCGAGGCCGACGCGGACCCACACATCGTAGCTCTCGGCGGCGCGGGGGGGCAGCTTGCGCAGCTTCGCGGTCACCGCCTTGTAGCGGCGCCACTTCGCGCCTTCGGTCAGAAAGGGCGAGACGACGTTGCCGTAGGCGTCGTACTCCACCGCCTGCGCCGCCTGTGGGCCGAGAATGTGCCGCGGTCGGATTAACTTCCAGCGGTGCTTCAGCGTTGCCTGCAGCACCGCCGCACTCCGCCGCTGCGCCTCACTGCCGGCCGGCGCGTGGCTGTCTAGGATGACCAACTTCTTCGCGTGCTCGTGCAGCAACCTCTGCACCTTGCCGTCGTGATCAGTGTGACGGGTGCAGAACGTCATTTCCAGTATCTCCGGGTCCGTCATGGTCCGCAGCACCGCCTCCATCTCCGTTAAACGCTTTTGAAGGGCGGGGTCGCCGGCCGTGACGAGGGGCACGAGACGCTTGCGGGCTGCAGCGGCTGCCGCGCCGTGTCCTTCTTGCTGCTTCTGCGCGTGGAAGTCGTGATCCTGTGCGGAGGGTAGCTTGCTGCTGAACGCGCAGCGCAGCATGCCGTTCGGGCGATAGCAGTTCGTGTCGATCACGTCGCGACCCAGCGTCTGGTTCACCTCATCACCAATCAGCTTCACGGTGCGGTAGTCCTGGAAGGCGACGAGCCTCGTCAAGCCACCGCTGCCCTTCTTACCCGACGCAGAGCTGTTGTCCACGACGTTCACCATATCACTGAGGTCATCGTATTCGTCGCCCTCGCTCTCCATCTCCGCTTCATCTTCGTCATGCGCACTAGCCGCCGTGTTCTTCTTTCCCTTTCTGCTTTTCGACGCGGACTTGGATTTGCTGCTGTCGCCCTCTAGCCCAATCCCGTGCTCTGCCCGGCGCTGCCGCTCCTGCAGGTACGACATGCTCCGCGCGTGGACGTGGTAGGACACCTTATCGCGTCCCGGCACCGCGTTCGTCAGCACGAGAAAGAAAGGGTCGGTGAAGCCCACACCGGGCAGACGCACCTCCAGATAGTTCAGCACCTCCAACAGCGCCGTCTCCGCCCCGGCGGCCGACTCGCCGGGTAAATCGATATCGGCAAAGAAGTCACACGGCACGTTCTCCCGTCCGCAAATGGCATGAAACTGACGCAGGTGATCCGGGAAGAGCAGCATGCGCTGCGCCAGGATAAGCGGGTAGCTGCACTGCACGAATGGGTTCTGCAGGCCGAGGTCGTTGTTAAAGAGGGTGAGGCCTGGAATCGGGGTGCCGCGCACGTAGGGCGTGGTGGCGTTGGCTGAACCGCGAGCAGGCGGGCTCGCACGCAGCGTGTGGTCGAGCTGGTTCTGCACCTCCGGCAGGCTCGCCCAGTGAGCCTTGTAGAAGTTCTCCCCGGCCTTGAAGCGCAGAAAGGAGAAGGCAGTCGACTTGCGCTCCTGCCGGGCTAGCATGACGTCCTCCGGCGTGGAGTCCTCCAGCAGCTGATCGATACGGTAGCTCCTGGCGACGTCGCCGTGTAAGCCGCGGAAGGGATTCGTGAGGATCTGCAGCGAGGTTTGATAGTCATCGCCAGCGGCAGTGGCGGTGGTGGTGGTGCTTGCCCTGGCAGCAGCGGTGGGACCGGAGGAGGTGGTCTTTGCAGACGTGCGGTCGGCCCGCACCTCAACACCCTTTTCCTTGGCCTCGTCGGGCTGCGCCGTCTTCTTTTTTATGGTTTTGTTCATCTTGTCGCTGCGCATGTGTGCGCTGGTAGCAGCGGCAGCAGCAGCGGCAGCGACGGTCTCTGCCTTTGTAGGCGGCGTCAGCGGCGCCCGCTTCGCCCTCCCTCGCCGCCCTCCACCGCCGCCCCGGCTGCCCCTGCTGCCGCTGGACGACGACCCACCGTGATCATCGCCGCTATCATCGCCACCACCGCCGCCGCCGTCACCACCTCGCACGTCGTGCTTCTGCAGCAATAACTCTACTGGGTTCACCGCTTCGACAGCGGCGATGCCTTTCCCCTGTTGTCGGTGTGGTCCCTTTAAGTCTGTTAAGAGCTGCGCTGGTGTGCGTCGTCGGCGCGTGGAGGTACGTGCTGCGGTGCCGTAGGCGTACTCCGTCGGGCGGAACTCCTCTCCATCGATCTCGACCACCGTCGACGCGCTCCGGCCCGCACTCATCTTGTTGCGTCGCGGCACGTTGAAGGCGGCGATGACAACGGCGGGGGTGTGGAAGGTGCTGCCCAGGCACCGCTGCAGTACGCCGCGGTAGGGGCGCATAGCGACACGATGAACAGACTGTGCAAATGAAGCCAGGTGAGCGAGACCCTTCTAGCAACACGACGCTCTACGGGACGAGACGAAGGTGCCGACGAGAGAGACGGGAGAAAGACAACGAATGGAGACGTGTACGAAGTTAAAATACAAACAACACGGAAACCATTTAAAAAAAAAGTTAAAAGGCGGTGAAGTACTTTTTTCTTCAGTGTACTTGTCGATGTGTCAACCTCAAGCCGCAACACAGGAAAGAAAGAACATACACCGAAGATGTGCGAGTAAGAGAGGAGCAAGTGGGCGGGTGTGGGCACGTCCAACGGCGGCCGCGATCCTCCGTGACGAGAGAGAGAGAAGGAGGGAGGGCGAGAGGGAGAGCGTGTGCCACGTAGCGAGAATGGCGCCAATGATTATAATAAAAAACACCGGCGAGTTACCAACTGCGCAAACAGAGGAAAACAAAGAAAAAAGAAAATGCCAAACCTACAAATCTATATGTGTATATGAAAAGGTGAATAAGGGGGGGGGAAGGGGGAAGTGCCTTGTGTTGATGTGACGCTGCGGGAAAACTGAGTGTGTATATCGTGTTCGAAGCGGGAGATGATCAGCCCACCTTTTTGATTTCGCAGCGAGCAGCCGCTTTCCGTCGCTCAAAGTTCTAAAAAGCGCTGCGTAAACGTCGGTTGACGCAAACCCCGTGCAGGAAGAGACAGAGAGAGAGAAAGGTTCGGAGTAAGAGGAGAAGGAAGAGATGCAGAAGGTGGAGTGATGAAGTAAAAGCGGCATGAATAAAACAAAAAAGGGGTTTTCCTCCTCCTCCCTTCTGTCCGATGTTTGACGGTGAGTCCGGCACAGATGCGAGACCAACAAGAAGTGCAGCTACCTGCCCGTAACGCGATGTGGGCTGTGGCGCGCTCCCCTTCGCCGCCAAGTCGCACGTCAACGATAAAACCCTCTAATAACAAAAAAAAGGGGGCCACCTGCGATGATCAGAGACGGGCGGCAATGTCTCACGTGCTGTCCTTTCACGTTACTTTTCATGTTTTGCTTCTTCGCTTGCGGCGGTTCGTTGAAGCACTCGCCTTCGCAGAGAGAGCGTAGACGCTCCGCATAAAAGTGAACAGTCATTTTACTCTTATTATTATTGTCTTTCCCGCCGTCGGGCTTCCAGTCGGTCGCACCACCGCGCTTTCTCTTTTGGTCTGTTAATCGCCGTAGTTAGCGTAGATGCGGTTCTGCAGATCGCGAATGGCAGTCACCATGCGCTCCATCTGCGCCGTCGGCGGCAGTATCGTCGTGCGGAAGTGAAGGGTGTTCGGCTCCTGCCCGAAGCCGGACCCGGGCACCACCACAATACCGGTGGCCTCCAGCAGCTCCAGCGACCACCGCGCGTCCAGCGCCAGCTTGCGGCCCTCCTTCTTGTTCTGCGCCTCGTTGTACTCCGCGTACCGGGCCGGCAGCGTGATCTGAGGGAAGGCGTACATCGCACCGTCCACAAGCTGGCAGGACATCCCGCGAATAGTGTTCAGCTCACGCGCCAGCAGGGCAGCGCGCTCCTTCAAGCTCGAGAAGATGCCGTTGTACTCCGCCCAGTACGACTCGTAGCTCGCGTCACCCTTCTGCGGCGGCGTGCTCATCAGCGCCGTCATGACCTGCCCGTTCACGTTCGCGCATAGGGCCAACGAGGCCAGCTTGGACAGCATCTCACGGGAAAACGCTGGCAAGTTCGTATAGTTGAGGAAACCGCCGCGGCGCCCGCACTCGCCGATCATGCCCTTCGACGTGGAGTGCAGCGAGACGAGCATCGTGCCCGTGCTGTACGGCGCAGGCATCGACAGTACCACCTCGCGGAAGCTCACAAACTTGCGGTCCGCGGCGTAGATGTTCTCCTGGTACACCTCGTCCGCCAGCAGCAGCACATTGTAGTCGTAGCAGAACCTCACCACGTCCTCCATCACCTTGCGGTCCAGCACGCCGCCGGTCGGGTTGCCGGGGTTGATGCACACCAGCAGGCGCGGCGTCGCCTTTTTCTCCTCCATGCATTTATTGTACGCCGCGGCCAGGTCATCCGCCTGCATCGCCCACCGATCGGCCTCGTGCAGGTAGTACGGCGCCGTCTTCGCCCCCAGCAGGGCAATCTGGGCCGTGTAAAAGGGGTATTGCGGGATCGGGATCATCACGGCATCCTCCAGCCCACCCAGGACCAACTCCATCGCCATCGTTATACCGCCACTCGCGCCGTCCGTCATGCAGATCTCCTCCATCGTCGCCTCGGGCTGCACGTGGTGATCGCGCTCGTTGATGCACGCCGCCACCGCCTCTCGGGCAAAGTCGTACCCGAAGGAGTCTGTGTAGGCGCCCGTCACGTTGCCTACGCGATCCACGTACTCCTTTGCGCGCGCCACCGCGTCCGCCGGGAAGCGCGCCACAAGCGCCTCGTCCTCCAGCAGGAAAGGCGCGTCGAAGAGTGCCATAACTTGGCGGTTGAAGGTGAGCGGCTTCTGGTCCAGCGACTGCGGGTTGCCGATGTTGCAGTACACGAGGCTCGTGAAGGGGTGGGCACCCTTGCCCTCCGCAATCTCCTTCTTGATCTCATCCGCGCGGGCAGGGATGAGGCCGCGGACGGCGTACTCCGCACGCACCACATGCGGATTCACGTAGGCCTTTTCGGACGACATGCTTGAAGCCCGTGAAGTCCGCTCGGAAGAAAGAGAACGCAAAAAGAATTGCTAAATATGTGTTAGAAATGGGAGAAGGAAACACACACGAACACACAGGAGATGTACGGAAAAGAGGGGGGAAGAAGGACAAAAAAACGGTTGTTGCCTTGGAAAGGCCGTTTTTCTACTTAATCCCGATCTCACGTTCGCGTCTTCGATCTGCTTTCACGCCGGAGAGAGGACGCGCAAAGGTACGCGCGGAAAACTATAATAATAATAAAAATGTTATGCTTGTTTTTAAAGTCAGGACGAACTCACCTGTAGATGTCCCGCATGCGCATACAAGCACGAACACGCACACAAGCGCACACAGTCAAGTGAGCAAAGCAAAGAAGGAGAAGAAGAATTATTTCTTATTTCCACAGCGCTAATGAACTCTCATACAGGCCGCACAGAAGCCAGAAGGACGGAGACGAGAAATCCAAAAGAGATAAGAGGGAAAAGCCTTCGCGTTTTGGTTAGTATTATGGAAGTGTATATATATATATATTAGTAAATAAGATAAGAATGGAACACAGCAAAAAGATAGCGGTTTGTTTTTAATATGTCTCACGCGTTGTGTGTATATATATATAGCGTGGAGTGCTACAACAACTCGCACCACGGCTTCGGGAAGCAGCGGGTTATTAAGTTCAATCGAGAGAGCGAACACACGAAGACCAACGGCAAAGAGGTACAACAGGCGATGAAGAGGTGCTCGTGTAAATGAGAAACCAACAAGACAAACAAACAGAAAACGATCTCGTGATTACTGGCGATTCTTCTTAGCTAAATAGCAAAGATCAGGAACAGTAGAAGTGGGGGGGTCAAAAAAAGTGGGTGCAGACAGGTGCAATGGAGCGAGCAGAGTCGGCTCTATTTTTATGAAGATGAGAGACAGCAGCGGAGACAGGAACACACGGGAGTAAACAAGAGGAAGAGTACTTTGTGGGCGGTTTCGTCATAGAGAATGAATATCTTTTTTTTAAGGAACAGCCGCATCAGTGAGAGTCTTCATAGCTCAAGAAAGCTGTGTGCTGTCGACGCAGTCCTCCCTTTTCTTTTTTATTCGGGCCCTTCTTCCTTGTACTTGAGCCTTCTCCTGCTGTTGCGGCTGCGCAGTCGATCCAGCAAAGACAACGAAACGAAATAGGAGACAGGCCTGCTTTGCGGATAGGCGAAAAAGGCTGGCCAGCAGCGTGCGTGCCGTGCGACATACAGCGCTGCCTCGCATTGCTCAAAGGAAGATCCTCTTTTTCTTAAAGCCTCTTCGGTTTTTAACTTCTTTCCTCATTTCGACCCCTCCTATTGTGGGGGGTGAAGAATGATGAAGACGTGCGTGACCACCACGCTGTCAGCACGAGGCGGCGTATCTTCATAGGTATAAAGTGTCACCGTGCTGCTCATTCCAGGAATACAAGCAACGGTGAAGAGACAAAGCAAAAACAAGAAAAGATCGAGAATGCTCTCGCTGCGCTTATTCTAAACCAAAAATAAACTGCCGTTTCTGTCGGCTCGTTCTGTCTTGCTTCACCTGCCTGGTGCAGGGGGGTATTGGTGCACCATTGGAGCATCATCCACACATCGCGGAGGGATTGTATTGTGTATTCTCATCGAACGACCGTGCTTCGGAAGAGAAGAAAAAGACAGGCGGAAAAGAACCACCAAAATACGGGTTTCATACGAATTCAATTATTTAAAAAACAAGAACAGCTTCGGCGTTAGGAAGGAAAACAATTCTTCAAAACCCGACGGAGCCTTCCTTCGGGGGCCACGCTGCTGCTGCTGCAGCCATCACTCGCCGCACCTCGCATACCAACAACAGAAAAAGGACCGATAATAGATACTCGGCGTGTTGCAAACCAGCAGAGACACAAGTACAAAGAAATAACCTATCCTTCAATATCGTCTTCCGCTTTTCCCTCTCGGGGTGTGCGGTGGTGTGTGTGTGTGTGTGTGCTGTTCATGGCAACACGCGCCTCAACGCTTTCTCACCGGATTCGGTGCACGACTTCACGGGGACGCCGCCACAGCAGCAGCAGCAGAAAAAAAAAGGACAGCAGAGCGCAGCGCGGCCATCCCATGATTGCCACGACTCTACGCGTAGTCCTTGTACACCTTCTCCTGGAAGTCGCGAATGGCAGCCACCATGCGCTCCATCTGCGCCGTCGGCGGCAGTATCGTCGTGCGGAAGTGAAGGGTGTTCGGCTCCTGCCCGAAGCCGGACCCGGGCACCACCACAATACCGGTGGCCTCCAGCAGCTCCAGCGACCACCGCGCGTCCAGCGCCAGCTTGCGGCCCTCCTTCTTGTTCTGCGCCTCGTTGTACTCCGCGTACCGGGCCGGCAGCGTGATCTGAGGGAAGGCGTACATCGCACCCTGCACAAGCTGGCAGGACATCCCGCGAATAGTGTTCAGCTCACGCGCCAGCAGGGCAGCGCGCTCCTTCAAGCTCGAGAAGATGCCGTTGTACTCCGCCCAGTACGACTCGTAGCTCGCGTCACCCTTCTGCGGCGGCGTGCTCATCAGCGCCGTCATGATCTGCCCGCTTACGTTGGCGCACAGGTTGATGGAGCACATCTTCGTCACCTGCTCCCGCATCGGGGACGGCAGGTTCGTCATGCAGAAGTACCCGCCGCGGCGCCCGCACTCGCCGATGATGCCCTTCGACGTGGAGTGCAGCGAGACGAGCATCGTGCCCGTGCTGTACGGCGCAGGCATCGACAGTACCACCTCGCGGAAGCTCACAAACTTGCGGTCCGCGGCGTAGATGTTCTCCTGGTACACCTCGTCCGCCAGCAGCAGCACATTGTAGTCGTAGCAGAACCTCACCACGTCCTCCATCACCTTGCGGTCCAGCACGCCGCCGGTCGGGTTGCCGGGGTTGATGCACACCAGCAGGCGCGGCGTCGCACCGTGCTCCAGCTCGCACTGCTCATAAGCAGCGGCCAGGTCATCCGCCTGCATCGCCCACCCGTCCTTCTCACGCAGGTAGTACGGGGCGAGGGTGCCGCCCAGCAGCGCCAGCTGCGCCGTGTACAGCGGGTACTGCGGGATCGGCAGCATCACGCCGTCGCCGGTGCCTCCGATCAGAAGCTGCATAAACACCTTCACGCCGCTGCTCGCGCCGTCCGTCAGGCAGATCGCGTCGAGCGTCGCCTCGGGCTGCACGTGGTGATCGCGCTCGTTGATGTGCGCCGCCACCGCCTCTCGGGCAAAGTCGTACCCGAAGGAGTCTGTGTAGGCGCCCGTGGCCGTGCCGATGTGGCTCAGATACTCCTTCGCGCGCGCCACCGCGTCCGCCGGGAAGCGCGCCACAAGCGCCTCGTCCTCCAGCAGGAAAGGCGCGTCGACCAGCGACAGCACGTGGCGGTTGAAGGTGAGCGGCTTCTGGCCCAGCGACTGCGGGTTGCCGATGTTGCAGTACACGAGGCTCGTGAAGGGGTGGGCACCCTTGCCCTCCGCAATCTCCTTCTTGATCTCATCCGCGCGGGCAGGGATGAGGCCGCGGACGGCGTACTCCGCACGCACCACGTACGGGTTCATGTGGACGGCCTTGGGGACGCGCCGGCCCCGCAACAGCATGGAAAAGCGATACATATGAGAACAGAACAAGACGGGCTAAGGTGCACTGAGTAAACAACACGGAGAGGGGGGCGAGAGGAGTTGATGGCGGTCTCGCAGGGAGGGGGAGAGGAGAGTAAACACCGATAGAGAGAAAGTATGAAGACAGCAGTGCCGGAAGATGAAGCGCTCCGACGCGTAGCGGAAAGAGAAGGGGATAAAAAAAACAGGGAGCAGAGAGACTTGCTGCGGTAGTCAGCGTCGACAGGAACAAGAAGACAAAAAAAAGGTCGAGGAAAGGAACAATACATGAGGGGGGAGAAAAGGTTGTGGGTGATGGAAGGGCGCGAAGGAAGAGACATACATCCGATAACAAAGGTATATATGTCTACATATGCGCTCACAGTAGCCCCTACCTCTCGGCAACCACGCTGCGGACCCGTTCAATGATGATGACGCAGCACAGCAACGAGCTACGCGCCGCCCGTGGAGCAATGCAGTTCCAACGTTACCGATATCATTCCCTCTCTATAGCCCTGTCCATTTCTTTTGTTCTCTTTTATAGTGATGCCTCACCTTTCCCTTCGCTTCCCTTGTACTTTTCAGATCATCGTCGTCAGGACTCCAACGGAGACACAAAAAAAAGGTTTCCTTGATTGTCAGCAACTCATTGAAGAGTGCTATGGCGTAACCTAATACTTAAAAAAGAAACGGACGACGCTACGCGTAGTCCTTGTACACCTTCTCCTGGAAGTCGCGAATGGCAGCCACCATGCGCTCCATCTGCGCCGTCGGCGGCAGTATCGTCGTGCGGAAGTGAAGGGTGTTCGGCTCCTGCCCGAAGCCGGACCCGGGCACCACCACAATACCGGTGGCCTCCAGCAGCTCCAGCGACCACCGCGCGTCCAGCGCCAGCTTGCGGCCCTCCTTCTTGTTCTGCGCCTCGTTGTACTCCGCGTACCGGGCCGGCAGCGTGATCTGAGGGAAGGCGTACATCGCACCGTCCACAAGCTGGCAGGACATCCCGCGAATAGTGTTCAGCTCACGCGCCAGTAGGGCAGCGCGCTCCTTCAAGCTCGAGAAGATGCCGTTGTACTCCGCCCAGTACGACTCGTAGCTCGCGTCACCCTTCTGCGGCGGCGTGCTCATCAGCGCCGTCATGACCTGCCCGTTCACGTTCGCGCATAGGGCCAACGAGGCCAGCTTGGACAGCATCTCACGGGAAAACGCTGGCAAGTTCGTATAGTTGAGGAAACCGCCGCGGCGCCCGCACTCGCCGATCATGCCCTTCGACGTGGAGTGCAGCGAGACGAGCATCGTGCCCGTGCTGTACGGCGCAGGCATCGACAGTACCACCTCGCGGAAGCTCACAAACTTGCGGTCCGCGGCGTAGATGTTCTCCTGGTACACCTCGTCCGCCAGCAGCAGCACATTGTAGTCGTAGCAGAACCTCACCACGTCCTCCATCACCTTGCGGTCCAGCACGCCGCCGGTCGGGTTGCCGGGGTTGATGCACACCAGCAGGCGCGGCGTCGCCTTTTTCTCCTCCATGCATTTATTGTACGCCGCGGCCAGGTCATCCGCCTGCATCGCCCACCGATCGGCCTCGTGCAGGTAGTACGGCGCCGTCTTCGCCCCCAGCAGGGCAATCTGGGCCGTGTAAAAGGGGTATTGCGGGATCGGGATCATCACGGCATCCTCCAGCCCACCCAGGACCAACTCCATCGCCATCGTTATACCGCCACTCGCGCCGTCCGTCATGCAGATCTCCTCCATCGTCGCCTCGGGCTGCACGTGGTGATCGCGCTCGTTGATGCACGCCGCCACCGCCTCTCGGGCAAAGTCGTACCCGAAGGAGTCTGTGTAGGCGCCCGTCACGTTGCCTACGCGATCCACGTACTCCTTTGCGCGCGCCACCGCGTCCGCCGGGAAGCGCGCCACAAGCGCCTCGTCCTCCAGCAGGAAAGGCGCGTCGAAGAGTGCCATAACTTGGCGGTTGAAGGTGAGCGGCTTCTGGTCCAGCGACTGCGGGTTGCCGATGTTGCAGTACACGAGGCTCGTGAAGGGGTGGGCACCCTTGCCCTCCGCAATCTCCTTCTTGATCTCATCCGCGCGGGCAGGGATGAGGCCGCGGACGGCGTACTCCGCACGCACCACATGCGGATTCACGTAGGCCTTTTCGGACGACATGCTTGAAGCCCGTGAAGTCCGCTCGGAAGAAAGAGAACGCAAAAAGAATTGCTAAATATGTGTTAGAAATGGGAGAAGGAAACACACACGAACACACAGGAGATGTACGGAAAAGAGGGGGGAAGAAGGACAAAAAAACGGTTGTTGCCTTGGAAAGGCCGTTTTTCTACTTAATCCCGATCTCACGTTCGCGTCTTCGATCTGCTTTCACGCCGGAGAGAGGACGCGCAAAGGTACGCGCGGAAAACTATAATAATAATAAAAATGTTATGCTTGTTTTTAAAGTCAGGACGAACTCACCTGTAGATGTCCCGCATGCGCATACAAGCACGAACACGCACACAAGCGCACACAGTCAAGTGAGCAAAGCAAAGAAGGAGAAGAAGAATTATTTCTTATTTCCACAGCGCTAATGAACTCTCATACAGGCCGCACAGAAGCCAGAAGGACGGAGACGAGAAATCCAAAAGAGATAAGAGGGAAAAGCCTTCGCGTTTTGGTTAGTATTATGGAAGTGTATATATATATATATTAGTAAATAAGATAAGAATGGAACACAGCAAAAAGATAGCGGTTTGTTTTTAATATGTCTCACGCGTTGTGTGTATATATATATAGCGTGGAGTGCTACAACAACTCGCACCACGGCTTCGGGAAGCAGCGGGTTATTAAGTTCAATCGAGAGAGCGAACACACGAAGACCAACGGCAAAGAGGTACAACAGGCGATGAAGAGGTGCTCGTGTAAATGAGAAACCAACAAGACAAACAAACAGAAAACGATCTCGTGATTACTGGCGATTCTTCTTAGCTAAATAGCAAAGATCAGGAACAGTAGAAGTGGGGGGGTCAAAAAAAGTGGGTGCAGACAGGTGCAATGGAGCGAGCAGAGTCGGCTCTATTTTTATGAAGATGAGAGACAGCAGCGGAGACAGGAACACACGGGAGTAAACAAGAGGAAGAGTACTTTGTGGGCGGTTTCGTCATAGAGAATGAATATCTTTTTTTTAAGGAACAGCCGCATCAGTGAGAGTCTTCATAGCTCAAGAAAGCTGTGTGCTGTCGACGCAGTCCTCCCTTTTCTTTTTTATTCGGGCCCTTCTTCCTTGTACTTGAGCCTTCTCCTGCTGTTGCGGCTGCGCAGTCGATCCAGCAAAGACAACGAAACGAAATAGGAGACAGGCCTGCTTTGCGGATAGGCGAAAAAGGCTGGCCAGCAGCGTGCGTGCCGTGCGACATACAGCGCTGCCTCGCATTGCTCAAAGGAAGATCCTCTTTTTCTTAAAGCCTCTTCGGTTTTTAACTTCTTTCCTCATTTCGACCCCTCCTATTGTGGGGGGTGAAGAATGATGAAGACGTGCGTGACCACCACGCTGTCAGCACGAGGCGGCGTATCTTCATAGGTATAAAGTGTCACCGTGCTGCTCATTCCAGGAATACAAGCAACGGTGAAGAGACAAAGCAAAAACAAGAAAAGATCGAGAATGCTCTCGCTGCGCTTATTCTAAACCAAAAATAAACTGCCGTTTCTGTCGGCTCGTTCTGTCTTGCTTCACCTGCCTGGTGCAGGGGGGTATTGGTGCACCATTGGAGCATCATCCACACATCGCGGAGGGATTGTATTGTGTATTCTCATCGAACGACCGTGCTTCGGAAGAGAAGAAAAAGACAGGCGGAAAAGAACCACCAAAATACGGGTTTCATACGAATTCAATTATTTAAAAAACAAGAACAGCTTCGGCGTTAGGAAGGAAAACAATTCTTCAAAACCCGACGGAGCCTTCCTTCGGGGGCCACGCTGCTGCTGCTGCAGCCATCACTCGCCGCACCTCGCATACCAACAACAGAAAAAGGACCGATAATAGATACTCGGCGTGTTGCAAACCAGCAGAGACACAAGTACAAAGAAATAACCTATCCTTCAATATCGTCTTCCGCTTTTCCCTCTCGGGGTGTGCGGTGGTGTGTGTGTGTGTGTGTGCTGTTCATGGCAACACGCGCCTCAACGCTTTCTCACCGGATTCGGTGCACGACTTCACGGGGACGCCGCCACAGCAGCAGCAGCAGAAAAAAAAAGGACAGCAGAGCGCAGCGCGGCCATCCCATGATTGCCACGACTCTACGCGTAGTCCTTGTACACCTTCTCCTGGAAGTCGCGAATGGCAGCCACCATGCGCTCCATCTGCGCCGTCGGCGGCAGTATCGTCGTGCGGAAGTGAAGGGTGTTCGGCTCCTGCCCGAAGCCGGACCCGGGCACCACCACAATACCGGTGGCCTCCAGCAGCTCCAGCGACCACCGCGCGTCCAGCGCCAGCTTGCGGCCCTCCTTCTTGTTCTGCGCCTCGTTGTACTCCGCGTACCGGGCCGGCAGCGTGATCTGAGGGAAGGCGTACATCGCACCCTGCACAAGCTGGCAGGACATCCCGCGAATAGTGTTCAGCTCACGCGCCAGCAGGGCAGCGCGCTCCTTCAAGCTCGAGAAGATGCCGTTGTACTCCGCCCAGTACGACTCGTAGCTCGCGTCACCCTTCTGCGGCGGCGTGCTCATCAGCGCCGTCATGATCTGCCCGCTTACGTTGGCGCACAGGTTGATGGAGCACATCTTCGTCACCTGCTCCCGCATCGGGGACGGCAGGTTCGTCATGCAGAAGTACCCGCCGCGGCGCCCGCACTCGCCGATGATGCCCTTCGACGTGGAGTGCAGCGAGACGAGCATCGTGCCCGTGCTGTACGGCGCAGGCATCGACAGTACCACCTCGCGGAAGCTCACAAACTTGCGGTCCGCGGCGTAGATGTTCTCCTGGTACACCTCGTCCGCCAGCAGCAGCACATTGTAGTCGTAGCAGAACCTCACCACGTCCTCCATCACCTTGCGGTCCAGCACGCCGCCGGTCGGGTTGCCGGGGTTGATGCACACCAGCAGGCGCGGCGTCGCACCGTGCTCCAGCTCGCACTGCTCATAAGCAGCGGCCAGGTCATCCGCCTGCATCGCCCACCCGTCCTTCTCACGCAGGTAGTACGGGGCGAGGGTGCCGCCCAGCAGCGCCAGCTGCGCCGTGTACAGCGGGTACTGCGGGATCGGCAGCATCACGCCGTCGCCGGTGCCTCCGATCAGAAGCTGCATAAACACCTTCACGCCGCTGCTCGCGCCGTCCGTCAGGCAGATCGCGTCGAGCGTCGCCTCGGGCTGCACGTGGTGATCGCGCTCGTTGATGTGCGCCGCCACCGCCTCTCGGGCAAAGTCGTACCCGAAAGAAGCCGTGTAGGCGCCCGTGGCCGTGCCGATGTGGCTCAGATACTCCTTTGCGCGCGCCACCGCGTCCGCCGGGAAGCGCGCCACAAGCGCCTCGTCCTCCAGCAGGAAAGGCGCGTCGAAGAGTGCCATAACTTGGCGGTTGAAGGTGAGCGGCTTCTGGCCCAGCGACTGCGGGTTGCCGATGTTGCAGTACACGAGGCTCGTGAAGGGGTGGGCACCCTTGCCCTCCGCAATCTCCTTCTTGATCTCATCCGCGCGGGCAGGGATGAGGCCGCGGACGGCGTACTCCGCACGCACCACATGCGGGTTCATGTGGACCTTGGGGTGCGTGTGTTTGTTTGAGGACATGGTTCTGCGGTTGCTTATAAGAGGAGATGAAACAAGTAAGAGTAATAGAAGAGGAAGAAAGAGGAAGATATGTCTTGACTCCGGCGTTACTGATTACTTCTTGGCGTGTGGCTGTGCGTGGGTGTGTCTCGTGGTAAACACGGGAAGGATGCACAGCGAAGGAGAAAAGGGAAAGAAAAGAGAATAGCTACAAATCCACAGGTATATATATTAAAAAGAAAATCGAAGAGAGAATCAATACGGTTTTGGTTAATGCTATCGGCAATTTATTTATTTGTCTGCTTGTTTTTTTTTTTTTGTAGAGGGAGAGACGTGAAACTGGCCGTGTATGTTGGGTGCTGGTTGACGGTATTTGCTCCCTTTGCTGACTTGTTAGTTTGAGTTTTGTGGTTGTTGTCTTTGAGGGAAGGCGAGGAGACAGAAAAAAAGGAGAATTTCTTTGTGATGAGCCGGGAATGAAACCGTTCGCGGCAGAAAAGGGGGAGAGAGAAATGCAATCGGTGAGAGCAATAAAGGCAGTTACAGAGAGAGAACGAGGAAGTGCGAACAAATAGTTGTCTTTCTTTAGGCTGTACAGAAGGGTGATCGTCGCGCGTGGGAGCGTGCTGCGGACGATTGATGTTGCCAGCGGAGTCAATGGTGAGAGGGTGAAGAATAAGGACGGAGGTGGGAGTGAAAAAGCCATGGGAGAGAAAGCCCGCAGGGAACGACGAGGAGTGCGACTCTACCAATAATGGATCGCCCCTCATTGCGTTCGCCGGAACAAAACCCAAGCGGCATCAACGGCAGCCTTTAAACCACTTCCTTCTTTCACTTTTTTTTTTTACGGAGACAACGTGGGGCAACACTCACGGGCAGCACCACCCGAGTGCACCGGCGCTTTCCTTCGCCTACGGCTCATGACCGACGCAGCAGCAGAGAGAGTGTGTCAGGCGCTAGATGCGAAGGTAGCTTCCGTTTTGTTTGATCATTTGCTTGCTGCGAGTGTGTGGAAGGGCTTTCCCTCACCTATTTCTTCTTTACGCGACGCCGACCTGCAAAGCAAGAACTCTATGCGCTCCCTACCTCCCCTTCTCTCAGCGGATGGACGGGCCAATGAGACACACAAGAAGGGTGCGAAGAGGGCGAAGGCAACGCGTCGTAAGCATCGATTTTTGTTTCCTGATTTCTGCTTCCTCGGTCCTCATCCCCACCGCCCCCCCCCCCCCCTTAATCGGAAGCGGCTCATTGAGTAAAGGGACGCGCAAATCGTCGCTCCAACTGCGTGAGGGACGACGCCGCGGAGACGGAGGTCAGCACCGACGCCGCCGCCGTGGCCCCTGTGAACGCCGCCGCGGCGTCTTTCATTGGAGGCTCTTTTGCGCTGGCACTTCTTCCTCCCGTGGCCTTCTTCGCCGGCCCGAGACCGCCACTGCCGGCAGCGGCAACGACATCATTCGACTGCGTCGCCGACACCCATGAAAGCCTTTCCGAAGAAGCCGGAACGGAGGGCGCCCCTGGTGGACCGGAGGCGTCCGAGACGGAGGCAAGAGGCGCCTTATTGCCTGACGAGGCAGAAAGCAGAGACACGTTTGCATAGGAGGAGGAGACGTCAAGCGATGGGGCGGAGGGCGGTGTCGACGAGGTACCAGACCGCGCCTCACCACTACGGTACTCCAGTTGGGTACTACCGCCCTGGATGTCGGGGGATGGGTCGGCCACCGCTCTCATGGTGCCGCCCTGCTGATGGAGACGCGCAGATGGCGCTTGCCACGGTGCGGCGAGGGGATCGCTGCGGCCGTGTCGCTCATGGGCGTGTGCGCCCCCCTCTGATGCAGGGGCGGCGAAGGACGTCGACGCGGTTGCGTACGACAGCTGCCGCGGGTCGAGCACAGCGTCGCTGCTCGCGATATCGCTGAGTTGCTGCTGCTGCTGCTGCGCGTCGTGCGCACCGTTCAGTTTTGTGTCTTGAAGGATGCTGCTTCGCAGAAACTCGGCCCCTTCTTCCGCGGCTGCTGCGATGGCGGTGGTGGTGGTGGCAAGTCGCGCGGGACCGGATGGCTGCCCCAGCGGTGCACCTTCGCCCGGGTAAGTCGCGGCAGCGGCGTTGCTCAGAACGGGAAGCGTTGGGATGGTGCGAAGCAGCGCGGCTCCCTCGGTTGCACCTCCGAGAGACTGCAGCAGCTGCTGCTGGCGACGGGCGAGTTGCTCCAACGCGTCCGCCACGCCCGCCTCGACACGCCGCGCTGCTCGATCCTGCAGCTGCGTGGTCTGACCACGATGGCTGGCCTTGACAGGGGCCCCAGTCTTGGCGTTCACGGACGCAGCAGCAGGAGCAGGAACGCTTGTCTTGGGCAAAGCATGTACTTGCTCTCGGGTCGGAGCACCCCTATCAACCTGTCTGCCCTGGCCGTCCCCTTCGTTGTTGTGTGCAGCGGTGTCCGCTGCTTGCGGTGTCAGCGCGGTCCGCTGTTGCCACGGCAGCACCGACAGCACTGAACGCGGCCGCGAGACGGACCCGAAGTCGCCCTCCACTTCGCCCTCTGCGTCGCCGCCGGGCACGCCGCGCAGGGGCAGACCGTCGTAGAGCTGCGTGTAATGCGAGTGTCCACGCAGCCCTGGTTGAGGTGCGGACGAAGAGGAGGGGAGGGGCTCGGCTGGATGTCGCTGTGGCAGGAGATCGCCCCGCTGACGCGCCAGCACCTGCTGCACCGTCTCCTTCAAGTACTGTTGAAGGCCATCTTCATCCTCGCTCAAGTGATCGACGTGCCGCTGCCGAGCAGCCGCCATGGCAGACGCCGAAGAGAACGGCGTAGAGGTGAGGGATGCTCCAGCCGATGCTGCTGGGGAATACGGTGGGAGCTGAGCCAACAGTTCCGCCGCACGAGCACCAGGAGTGGACGGTGTCCTCGCAGCAGCAGCAACAGAAGCAACAGAAGCCAGTCTTGATGGACCGTTTCTAACTCCTGCCGCCGTCTGAGGCTTGTCGGCTCGTTGCCTTAACGGCGTCCCGTGACGAGGGGTGGAGCTGAGGGGAAAAGAGTTGAGGAAGACGGGTTGGGTGGATGCTGCGCGAGGGCCCACCGACGCCGTTCGTACCGCCTCCTGCTCTGGCTGTACCGCCATGGGCACCGACATCGTGCGTCGCGGGGCCGCATTCCGCCGCGCAGCGGGTGTGCTGAACGCGTCAAAAAATACTTCTTCCTCCTCCACCTTCGCGCGCTTTTTCTCGGTGTCGCGTTCTCCGCCACGCGGTGATGCGTGCGCCGAATCGCCCGCCAGCCGGCCACCGCCGTCGTCGTCCTCCGCAACCCCCTGCCCTTCGTCGTCATCATCACTCTCACCTATGTTGTACTGATGCCGCTGTTGCGCAGGGGTGCGAAACAACGCCGCACCAGCAGTAGCCACAGCGGCCTGCGCGGAGGCGAGCAAGGGAGACCGCGGGGAGAAGACGAAAGACGTCGATGGACTCGCTACGCCGTTGGCTGCGGGCGTGGATGCGTGCCGCGACGGTGCGGGTGAAGCGTTGTGTGATGCGGCCGCAGCACCAGCAGCCGACGGCGTCATCATCGCTGTGGTGCGGGCGACGGTGCCCGGATGCAGCGGTGGCGCCGCGTAGGCGTGGGAGGATTGGACAACAGAAATGGGCGAGGCTGCGGACCGTGCGACGGTGCGCTCGATGCTCTCGACGTGCTGTGTGGCGGCTGCCTGGGTCGATGCACTGGTGGAACGTACAGGGCTACGAAGTGCCTCAGCCTCCGCCACGGGCGCCTCGTGATGATGGTGTGTGTGTGTATCGGTGCTGGCTGATGCGCCTTGCTGAGGCGACGGCGTCTTCACGTGCGATTTATCTTCTGATTGTCGGGTCGGGGAATCGTTTGTAGCGTCCTGCTGCTGCTGCTTTGGTTGTTGCTGCGCCGCCTGCCACTCCAGCTGAGGGGTCGCAGACTCCGCAAACGGCACGCCCTTCTTCTGTAGCCACTTCACCGCCAACGCACGCGGGACACCAAAGACGGCGGCCAGCGTATGCTGCATCGCGTCACGCATTTCACTTGTCCACGCCGTCTGCTCCATCGTACACCGCAGCAACTCCGCCTCCCTTTCCTTCTCTTGCAGGCGCGCCTTTAGAATCTCGACCCGGCCCTCCGCACGCATCCGCTGCTGCGTCTGAAGGACCTGCGCCTCCTGCAACTGTGTGCGCTCCTCCTGCTGAGCCGCGGCGGCGGTGCGGAGGGCCTCCGCTTCGCGCTGGCTGCGGTGCACGGCGGCCTCGTGCCGTGCAGCGAGCGCGCCCGTCTCCGTCAACTCTGCCCGTGTGCTGCGCAGCTGCTCGCGCAGTTCGTCTTCCTGCGCTGCGTAACGTGCGGTGATGTCACGCGTGTGCGCCGCGTGCGTCGCCGCCTGCACTTCGTGTTGACGCTGCGCCTCCTGCAAGGCCCGTCGCGCCGCGGCCAGCTCGTCCTGCAGGGTCTGGCAACGATGCTGCTCTTGGCTAAGCTGGGCTTCGTAGGTTCGCTCCAACTCCTGGGCCCGCTGTGCGTAACGCTGGGCGTCACCCCGAGCCTGCTGCTCCTGATCGGACGCCTGCGCCCGCAACGCACCCACCATCCGCTCCAGTTCACTGCGCAAGTGCTCCTTCTTGTCCAGCGCCGTCTCCAGTTCCGCCAGGCGCCAACGCAGGGCCTCACGGTCTTCCCGCGCGGACGTTTGATTTACCTCGAGCTGAGCGAGCTGCTGCTGCGTGAGGCGCGCCTCGTGTCGCGTCGCGGCTGCCCTCGTTTGCAGCTGCTCTTCCTTCTCTTGCAGGGCGGCCCGCAGCTGCTGCGCGTGGCCGCTTGCCTGCTCACGCAGCTCCTCGCGATGGCGCACGTCCGCCTCGTAGAGCTCCCCCTGCAGCTGGATCAACTGACGACGCAGGTCGCTGTTCTCGGACATGCAGACGTCCCGCTGCGACTGCATCGCATCCCGCTCCTGCGTGAGCGCGTCGAGCTGGGCGCGAAGGTGCCGCGTGCGCTCCGCCCACTCCACCTCAAACTGCTGAATGTCTTGCGTCTGCCGACCTTCCCGTGCCTGGGCCTGCAGCAGCGCCTCCTGCGCAACACTTTTTTGCGTCTGCATGCTGTCGAGCTGCAGCTGACGCGCCTCCAGCTCCTGTGTGGCTTGATCGTAGTCGTCGCGGAGACGGTGGAAGAGCCCGCGTAGCTCGCGCAGCTCGTCGGCGTGACTATCCCGCTCGTGCACCAACGCGTGGATGCGCTTCTTCTGTTCCTCCACCAGTACAGGTAGCGGCAGCGCCACCACACCACCACCACCACCACCGCCAGCGCCAATCGATGACGTCGCCGCTCGTTGGGGCGACACCGGCGACAGCTGCGCCTTCTCGACGCCGTGCGGTGCTCCGTTGTTGTACATTCCTGGCAGCTCTGCGCTGCCTTCCGCTACTTCATTTTGTAGGTGCTGCGGTGGTGGTGGTAGTGGCCGTGGCGGCGCGGTGGGCTGAATGGATGGGTGCACCGTAGACGAAGATGATGATGAAGCTGACGACAGGGGAGAGGCAGAAGGTGCGTCTGCCCTCGCCGTCCACACGTGTGGGTGGATGCGGTGCTTCGAGTTGGGACTGCTACTTTCCTCTCGATGTGGCGAAAAGCCACAAGAGGCCGAGTTGTTGGTCGGAGGTGCTGGCGGTGGCGAGGCGGGTCGCACAGCCGCACTCGCCGAAGGTGTCGCGTGCGGGGAGCTAGAAAGGTACGGCGCGCTGTTGCTGCTACCGTTGCGGGGGTTAGTGCTGTTGTGGTGACCATTGGTGCTGGGGCTGTGCGCTAAGCTAGCCCTCTGTGCGCTGAACGGCGGCAGCCCATCCTGGTGGGTCAGCGGGGGAGGCGCACGTAGCGGCAGGGGCATTTGAAGTGAAGCGCTTCCAAAAGGAACAAAAGATTTTTTTAAAAACAAAAGAAATGTTTCCCCGTCGTTGAGTTGGGGGGTGTACAGCTCTATGTGTCAGCCGTATCCTCTGTCCGCTTATTTTATTGTTTCTTTCTCTTAACGAGAGAGAGAGAGAGTGATGTGGAAAGCCCACCTCCCAGTTCGCCGACGAAGAGCGCAATACAGCCGTAACGGCAGCAATGATCTATAACTATATATAACGTGTTGTATGATGCCTGGACGGCTTTATGAGAAGACGATTAGAACGGTATATCTCTCTTCCGCTCTTTGTATATTTTTTTTTCCCCTTTGCGTTCGTTTGCTGTTCTCTCTCGCCCCAGCAGTATCAGGATCTTCCAGCGCCGTGTGTAGGAGACTGTGTGAAGTACCTCTTGAGAAAAGTAAACAGTACCGTGCCCTTGAAATGGCCACGTAGCAAGAGCCGGTACAGCGCGCTACGTTGATGCAGGCGCATGACAATGGAAGAGAATAGGAAGAGAGGAAGAGAGAGAGCCGACAGATGAAGGGTGAACAGCGCACACACACATACGTACATCACACGAATGCGAAGACAGAGCCCCTCAAGAAGTTAAAGCATAATGAGAAACAAAATTTAAGAAGTGAAGATCTTCTCTTCTCATTCTTTCAGACGGAGTTTCACGATGCCCGCCTGTACATCTAGAACGGTTTTGTCTAGCTTCGCTTGCACAGCGGCGATGGGTGACGAGCCAGAGGGAACGACTCCACCCGTGCGTGTGTGTGCCGCATCGCGGACTGGTCGCCTTGTAGAAGGTACGTGCGCGCTTCTCCACTCACACCATCCTTCCTTCAGCCTCCGCAGAAGAAAAAAGAATACAAAGAGGTGTGTGCAGGGAGGGTCTTCGTCCCGTTTGGGGTGGGGGGAGTTGTAATCACTGTGCGTTCGAGCACTCAGGCCAAATCGCTGTCGTTCAGAGAAAAGGGAAACACAAAGGGAAGAACAAAGATCCACACAAGCCAATCCACGCACACACGCACATGCACACACGGTCTACAACATGTAAAACAGCAGCATCTAAGTAGAAAGAAAAAATAAGCAAGAGAGAGAGAGCCAAGAGCGACGCTACAGCTCCCCGCCTACTAATGACGTTCAACCGTGTGCGTCGAGAAGAACCCTTTCTGGTTTGCATGCGCCGTTCCCGCCACAGAGGACGACGACGGCATCGACGACGGCACCGACAGCTGCGACAGCGTGGGTGGGTGCAGCAGCTGCATCGCCTGTGTGCGGAGTGCGTTGATCTCGCGGTGGCGGCTGCGTACGAACGCAACCGGCGGCAGCTGACCACCACCACCATCAACGCCAGCCGCGGCAGCGCTGCCGTTCGTCGTCGTCGACGGCGTCGCAAAGCCTGTTGTGGCGTTAGTGCGGTACGACGCGAGGCCGCCGGAGGACTGCTTGCTGCGCCGCTTCCCGGAAGCGGTGACATCGTCTGTGAAGTTCTCTAACCTCGCCATCGGCGCAGTCTCTCCCGCGGTGTCCTGCTGCGGTGGCGGTCCGTCTGCGGCGCTGAGCAGCGACGTCCCCACCGGCATCACGAGCTCTGCCATCGCCTCGAGATGCTCCTCTGCCTTGTGGAGGTGCTGCAGGGCCGCCGCCGCCCGGGCGTGGTGCAGCGCCGTCCGCCCCGCCGACGCCGAGGCGGGGGAGGAGGCCGGGGAGAGATTCAGGCCGGGGGAGAAGAGTGCCGGGTCGTAGCTCGACGAGCGCGCCGGCAACTCTAGCGACTTGCGCGCACGCTGGACGTAGTGCTGAATAAGGAAGGGGAGGGCTAGCAGCAGGTCCTCCCCGGTTGCTGCGGGGCTCTGAACCAGCTTTTCCAGATAGACGCAGGCCCGCGTGAAGCTCGAGTTGGCGATGTGGTGTGTGGCGATGCGACGTACGTAGACGGGGTAGTTGGGCGATGTGTTCGCGTCGTACGTCTCGGCCCGCTCCAAGCAGGCGATGCTCTCCCCCACTCGTCCGTCGTGCTCTAGGCAGTTCGCCACGGCGACCCACATCCCCGGATCGGCCGGGCGGAGCGAGGTGGTGTGCCAGTAGTAGTACAACGCGTGGTGGTAGGCCTCCAGCAGCTCGTATATCTGCCCCAAGTTGTACCACCCGCGGTAGTCCCGCTCGTTCAGCTCGACCGCCGTGCGGTAGGCCTCGACCGCGGCGGTGGTGTTTTTCACCTCGACGTAGGCGTGGCCCAGCAGCAGCCACGCCTCGGCGCACTGCGGGTCGATGGCGGTGGTGCGGTGGAAGTGCAGGGCAGCGCGGTCGTGCTGGCCCAGCAGGACGTAGTAGTTGCCCACCGCGAAGTTCGTCTCGGCCCGGAAGGCGTCGGCGTGGTAGACGGCCTGCACGAGGCTGCTGAGGCCTAGTCGGTCTCGCTTCGTGTACAGCACGTTGGAGTAGTCGTAGAGGATGCCGTAGTAGTGCGGGTCGAGCTTGCGGATGCGCTGGTATATCGCCTCGGCCTTGTCAAGCCGGTTGCGTTGGTGGTAGTAGAAGTGGGCCAGTTGACTGAGCAGACTCGGGGTATCTGGGAAAAGCAGGCCGAGACACTCCCAGGCGTTTGCAAAGGCAGCCGCAGAAGTGGAAGGGACAATGGGTGACGACAGCAGCGGCGGCGCCACACCAGCGGGTGGGTTCCCGTTAATACTGTTGGTATCATTCGCGTGCTGTTGCGGCGTACTCCGCGCTTGGACCAGGTTAGGTGTCTCAGCATTCCCATCCAACCCCACAGCACCGTTCAGGGTGTGCGGAGAGGCCACAAACAGCGGAACGGCCGATCGTGACGCAGAGGAGGACGGTGGTGGTGGTGGAGGTGGAGAGACGACTCCCAGCGCGCCTCCAAGTCTAACCTCCCGCCCCTCTCCGACGTTGTTTCCCATCGCAACAGCGGCGGCGGCGGCGGCGTTGCGTAGTCGCGTTGACGACATCGGCGACACCCCCAGCAGCCCCCGCACCTCTGCTGCAAAGATGTCTGTCATGAAGTACGGCTCGACGTCCTCCAGCACACTGTCCAGCTCCACCAGCTGCGCCTCTCGGCTCACGAGCGAGGTCAAGTCCTCCCAGGCGCAGCGCAACAACGGGTTGACGGTGACGGCGGCCAGCAAGAAGGTGGCACACTCCTGTCGCATCCGCAGCTCCCGCAGCACGACACCCATCAGCCACGTCAGGTAGGGGTCGAGGTGCAGAAGATCTGCGGCGACGATGTTGGGGCTGGCAGACAGCGGTGGAGGAGGAGGCGGAGGCGCCGCTGTGGGGGCCGCGTCGTGTCTGCCGCCGCTTGGCGCGCTCCGTTCGACGGTGGTGGCCGGTGAGAAATTGGAGAAGGTGTGCGAGCCGACGCTGCCGCCGTCCGTCCGGCTGAAAGCAGACGAGCCTCCTCCCATCACAGGGCCGGCAGTGGTACCCTTGACTCCCGGCACGCGCGACGCACTCGTGATGGTCCACGGCTGCTTCTTTGTGCTCGGAGTGTGCGGGTCCCACCCATCTGCCACGGCGGTTCCCTCAAGCAGCCGCGACGGCGGAGCGGTGCAGCTTCGCCCTTCGCGGTTCACGCTCCGGCTTGCACTGTCGTTGTGGCTGTTGTGGACGTCGGTGTTCGCGTCACCGCAAACGGCGTGGGTGTCGGATGAGGGGCGAGAGGGGGGAACCGCCTCGGTCTGCGCCGCGGCGAGGCGCAGCGTGTTGATCGGGTTGCGCATCGCCTCGAGCAGGTATGCGCGGAGGACGTGCGCGTGTGGGTGCACTGCCCGCTGCGGGCCGCCAGCTCCCGTGCAAGAGTTGGCGTTGTTGCTGAGCTGCTTCACCTTCATGCCGTCCATAAAGAGAGCGTAGAGACTCAGGAATTGCAGCAGAGGTGGCAGCGCGGTGGTGCGGAAGCCGCGGACCACCTCGGGGGAGGGCAGAGACGACGGTGCATTGTCCACCGTGCTGCTGCTCGTCTCCTCCTCCTTCTCCATTGCAGCCGCAGCGGCTGCTGAGCTGAAAGCGGAATTCGGCTCTCTCGTGCGCATGACTTCTCGAAGAATGGTTAGATGGCACCGCTGGAACTCGCCTCGCGTGAAGTAGCCCAACGCGACGCGGTGAAGACGCTGGAAGTGTTGCTGCTGCTGCTGCTGCTGCAGGGACGAAGACGACGAAGGAGAAGTCAGGTGCACCGCCTGCTTGTCCAGCTCTGACACCACCGACGCCAGCGAGCTTGTGGTAGGCAAAGGAGCGGCCAGGACGGACGGCAGGGCATGCAGACTCATCTCACTTAGCCACGTTGCGGCATTCGTCAGTCCGCGTCGCTCGCACTGCGCCGCGACGGCATCCATCGCCTCCCCCGTCGTGATAGGAGAAGGGGATGCCGAAGCGTTTGGGGACGGAAGAGAGTCGCCGCTGGCGGCTGCGGCTGCGGCTGATGCCGTGGGCTGCCCTACGGTGTCCTGTAGGTTGCTGGAGCCGCTAATTGTCTCGGAGAAGCGGACTCCACCGGCGGCGGTGTTGACAGCAGCGGCTGTCGTGCGCTCCGTCTCCGGTGACGCAGGCGAGTTCGTCGGTGAATGCCACTCCATCTTGTGAGGCGAGGGGGGGAGGGGAATTGGAGTCGCTCGTCTATGTTTGGCAGAGAAAAGAAATAAAGAAGAGTGCTAAACCGTGTAGATTCTTCTTCGATGCTTCGCTGTGGGACCACGTAACGATAAAATCCTTCCTTTTCTGGAGAAGATCTCAAAGATATATATCGGTTTTCCCGGTCGGTGCGCGTGTGTGTGAGGAAGAAGGTCAAGTAAGAAGGGAGTTAACCGCCCCTGGGGTGCTTCGTCCTCTCCCCACTGCTGATGTGGCTCCGCAGCGGGGTGACGTCTATGCACAAAATGAACGGAACAATTCGAAACAGCAAGCTGACGTGGTGCGTACAGAAGACGAATCTTCGATGACGCTTCCTCTGTCAGCCGTGGTCCGTTCAGCTCGCTGGATCGCTTCGCGAAGTGGCGATTTTGTGGAAGAAGAAGAAAACAGAAAAATGCCGAGAAGAGCGTGTAAAACGAGGCCTGGCTGCGTGTGCTTTCGCTCCCAGACCGTAAAAAAAAAATAGAGAGAGAGTTGGAATCAGCTCTAGTGGGGAAGAGAGCGCTTTTATTCTTTTTCAGCAGAGACCGTCGAAAGCACACATCAGGCGTCGGGCGAGACGAAGCGGGTCGACCACAACGCATAGCGCCATAGCAACGGCAATAGTTACCCGAGGAGGCAATCGTGTGGCTGTTGTCGCTCGTCGCACCTCACCTCGATTTGGTCGAAGTGACGGTGTATGGCGCTCCCAGACCAGCAAGAACGATCGACGAGAGATGGTAACACGTAAGCTCGCTGCGTCCGCAGCCGTCGTCCTCGGCATCACGAGTCCTGCGAGGTGGGCCCGTCTTCCCAATTTCCTAATCGGAAGAGAGAAAAACAGAAAGAGGAGACACAGACGAGAGCGCGTGTCTCTCAGGTGTGCTACACAATTCTTGTTGTTGATGGTTAGCTTTAGCGATAAGGGTACCACACAGCACAGCACAAAACACGCACGGAACAAAAAACCCAATGAGGCGAAACAGAAGCCAAGAAAAAGAAACATACGGCGGAAGACGCGCGGCCAAACGTTAGACGACGAGCAAAGCCACAAGAGCAGAACGGAGATGGATGCCGTGCTTCGGTGAAAAGGAAATATATATTTTTTTTCACCTACTCCTCCAGGCACAGCACGCAGCTTCACTCCCCCGCCTACAATAAAAAATAATATATAACATATAATAACAATAATGAGAGCGTCGATTGTGGTGGCATACAAAGACATGCTATACCACAGAGGAAGAAGAAGAAACAGAGAGGAAGCGCAGCCGTAAATAGGTGTGCTGATGCGATCATCACGCAGACGCACTAAAAAGGACCTCGAACAGGCGAAAATCAAAACGGCCTATGTTACTAGGGAAAGAGCAAGATTGTCGGTTTCGCGCGGCGCAGCCAGAGACCGATTCTTTCCCGGTACATTAAAGAGCTCACGCAACTACACACACGCACACACACACACACCTAGGTCTGACTGCTGCAACGTGGGTGTTCCATGCTTGCTTGTGCCTCTCGATGGGGTCCAAGTTACAGGTTTATTCCCTCTTAGGACGGGGAGGGGGGGACACACATCCTCTTTTCTTCTTCTCCTTTACTTGTTTCGAGCAAGGCTGTCATTCGCACCGGTGCACCGCATTTAGGTAGCGCAGTCGGTCAGGCTCATGCCGGAGCCGCAGATGCCCTGCACGAGGCCCTCTAACATCTTGCGCTCCGCCACCTGCGCCTCCACCTTGGGGCTGGCCGCCGTCGTGTTCTTGCCGTTCACTACCTTGTTTGTCTCACCATCGTAGGGCGCCACGTTCAGCCACGTCAGCACCGTCGGCAGGACATCCACCTGCGTCACCGGGCGCTCGAGCGCGGCCAGGGTAATAAAGCCCTTCGAGTTGGACGTGTAGGTGGCCATGAAAAACGGAATGGCGTCCTCGGAGGTAGAAAGGGAGACGGGCGTGCTGAAGCTCTTGTCGCTGCCCCCGTGATCGGCCAGGCCGATGACGAGCCAGTTCTCCTTCTGACTGCGCGAGCGGTCACGCACGTAGCTGATGACCTGGCCAACCATTGCATCGAGCAGGTAGGCCTGGGCGATGTACTCCTGCGACGAGACGTTGTAGCGAAACTCCGGCAGGTAGGGGCTCGCCGCACGCACCGCCAGCGCGTCCCAGTGGAAGACGAAAAGCGAGTCGTCGAGGTTGTCGGCGACCGTGTTCTGCACAGCCATCTTCTGCGTGGGCGCGGTGTAGGCGAGGCCGCCGAAGAGGCTGTTCAGCTGGCGGGAGTACTGCGCCTCGGCGTGGCCGTCGCTGCACTGCATGTGGTTCGTCGCCGTCTTGACAATACGGCTGTTCGCGTTGCAGGTGGAGGAGGCGAGACAGTCGAGGTGAACGTTGCCGGAGAACTCGTCGATGCCGGAGGCGAGGATGTCCGCCTGCGACGCGGCGCATTCCATGTCGAGAACCCCCGGCTCACTGCACCCACCCGTCGCGATGTTTAACGAGTTCAGCACGTGCGAGCTGGCCATCACTGCCACCCGCTTCCCGGCATCCCGCACGCGCTTCGCAAAGCTGGGGTAGACTTTGGAAGTCGTCGCGTACATCGACATGCCCTGCAGCGTGCCGTTGGACACTTGATGGGCGCGGGGCGACACGCCGGAGAAGATGGACGTCGCGGCAGCCGCGGCGCTGATGTACACCTCACCGGATGTGTCGTTCTCGACCACCACCGCGCGGGCGCAGCTGGACTGCGAGGCGGTGGCGCACTCAGCCCAGACTCCTTTCTGCGTAGACAGCATCGCGGCAATGTTGGGCAGATGCACACCGGACTGCATGAGGGCGTGGAAGATGGTGCCGGAGAAGCCTTCCATCACAATGACGGCGACCCGCGGCGCGGCCTCGACGTCGCTGCCCGTGCCGTTTGTGTAGACAATGGCGCCGAAGATGATGATGATCATGGCGGCCACCACGAAGGGTACGAAGATGCGGGAGCAGCACCCGCCCTTCGGTCCGCTGACGTCCTGCTCCTCATCGAGGGTCTTGATAATGTCCTTGACGGTGTGCGGAGCCTGCGGCTGGCCGTTGGCGTCCGCACCACTACCACCAGCAGCGTCAGCGGTGGGACTCGCTGCCTGTGGCACAAGCGACTTTGCAGTGGCGACAACGCGTTTGTGGCCGCCCTCCGCGGCGTCCCCGGCGGTGCCGTCGTTCTTGTACGAGTCGCCAAACATCTCTTTGATGTCGCTTCCTTGCGGGTGGGCGTTTTTGTGGGTTTTAAGCTTCTTGCTCGACAGACCCGATGCTCAAGAGGTGATTCTTCCTCCTTTCTTTTTCAATTATTATAATATGCTGGTGATGTTTGCCGAGTCCGACGACGGGGCGTACGTGTGTGTGCGGAAGCCACAAAAAGGGAACGCGATATGATTTTCTTCTTGAATCACTTTTCGTCTTCTCGAACAAAGGTGTCGGTGCGGCCAGCTCGCAACGGACCCTCACCTATAGATGCCACTGCACCACCAAGACGTCAACACGCGTGTGTGTTGAATGGGGGAGAGGGGAGAGAGAGAGCTGACGCGTGGCACACCAGATGAAGTCGCTACGGTTCTCGTGGGTATGTGTGGGTGGGTGGGTGTGGAGTGTGCGCGGTGGGTATCCGTCTGGGTGTTGCACAACGGTCCGCAGAAAAGAAAAACCAAAATCAAGACTGCACGTCTGTGGGAGGAGGAAGAGAGATATGTGGGCAGCGAAAGTGGCCCGTTGCGGAGAAGCGCACAGAGATCATAAGCAGCGGCGGCAGGAGCAGCAGCAGCGGTAGCAACAAGAAATAGAAGAAGTGGAATGACGCAGCACGCACACGAAGACGACGATGTCGCAGAGGAAGTAAAAGGAAGTGACAGAAAGCCACAAAGGAAGCATCAAAGCTTTTTTTGTCTTTGTCTTCGTTTTTCATACGTAGGCGTGGCAGCTCTCTTGCTCCCTCGCTCACACACACCGTCTTCATCGTGTTTAACTACCTACACATATCATGGTTGGCCGTACACGCATTCATTGACAACATCATATATAGATATATATATATATATCGCTGGCAGGGGAAGTCGCAGCTGCGACGTGGAAACCCTCGTAACAAACAAAAAAACCGCAGTAATAGTACTTGTGCCTTATCAACTCCCTCGCCGTGGCAGAATGCAGACAAGAACTGCTTGACGCACACAACATACAGCACCACCAACTCTCTGAGACGCTACACCGTGATAGGACGCGGTACCAAAAAAAGGAGGGTAAAGAAGATAGAAGAAAATCACCAAATTGTATAGCACAGCGTTTTGGGCCAAAAGACCACACATCAGCAACACTAACAGACCAAAAACAATCTTCAAAAAAAGGGGCATAAGTAGCAGCATCAAGAATACAAGGTAGAACAACTTTTCCCCTGACTGCGATCCGCCTACGCTGACGCACACCACACACCACCGCCGTTTCCCGTCTCCCCTCCGGGTTAGAGCTTCGTCGCCATCTCGTTGCCGTGCACCACCTCCAGCAAGTACCGCTCCACCTCCTCGACCTGTACAATGACGGCACGCAGCCCGAATAAGAACGCCTCTAAGCTGTGAATGTCGCTGTTCGTCAGCACGTACTCGTCACCGCCGTCGCCGTCGCTGCCGCCGGTGCCGCCGACATCCAGCAAACTCAGCAGCGCCTGCCCACCATCATGAGCGCCCGCATCACCGTTTGCAGATTTACTGCGATTGTTGCCGTGGGAGGGCCCGATGAAGGTGCCGTTGTTAAACTCCAGTTTACTCACCTGCGACATAAAGTTGGCCTGAATCGAGTCCTGCAGCAGAGGGGACACCGCGGGCGGGGCCGTCGCGCTCTCTGCCGGCGGAGAAGACGTGATCGCATGGTCAGACGCGAGGGGGACAGAGTTCGGCTGCTGTGCCGTGTTGCTACGCCCGCCAGCACCACCACTACCACCACCGCTGGGGCCCGCAAAGGTGCTGTTGAGAGCGCTTCCATTACCCAGGTTACCGCTCAAAAAGGAGCGGTTCACCACCGGTAAGTTCGCGGCGAGATCGATGAAGGACATGTTTCCGAGGACGGCGGGCGGCGGAGGCACCTGCTGCTGTTGCTGCGCCGCCAAGCTCTCCACGTAGTTCTGCAGCGCAGCAGGGATGGCCGGGCCGGCGGCGCTGAAGCTGTTGTTGAGAAACCCCGCCAGTGGGATACTGTTGTTCGTCAGGCGCGGATTGCCCGTGCCGGGGGCCGGGATCGGCGTGGGCAGGAGACTCTCCGGCGGGGCCGCGTGCGGGCTCGTGCTCGCCGTCGCGCCGATCTGCTGCTGCAGGGGACCACTCAGCAGACCCGAGCCCGCCGCACCCAACACGCCAGGGGGGTCTGCGTTCCCTCGAACTTCACTGTCGGCACTCCGATCGGCCTCGCGATGCCGCGGGAGCCCGTCCGCCGCAAAAGGCTCGTGGGCGTCGCCCGCTGCGTGCTCGGCAGCCCCTCGTGCGTGTGTTGGAGAGGCAGATGCAGCCGCACTTTGCGATGGCGCCGCGGTCGGCGCATTAGAGAAGGCGCGTGGCGTCCCTCTGTGCGTGCGCTGGTGGCCCTCTCCGTCATCCTCTGCCTCTCCCTCACCGGTAGACAGCGGATGCGGATGGGGCGCCGCCCCGGTGGGTCCGTGCGCATTGCCGGTCGGCCCGGTCGCCGCCACCGGGCTCGCGGGCCGCGCAGGGGCTCGAGCACCACGGCCCAGCGAGAAGACATCACCCGCCGCGATGCCGGTCACTCCCGCGGCGGCGGACACAAAACTCTGGTTGCTGTTGTTATTCAGCAATGTCGTCGTGGGCGAGGGCGGGGCGGACGGCGCAGTGCCAGCTGCACTCTGCGCCGAGGGGGGTTCCGGTCGAGAAGCGGAAGGCACGGCAGCGTGAAACGACGGGGAGACGGTAGTCGTGGTACCAGCAGCTGCAGCGGCCGCCGTTGCCTCCGGGTTGCGGAGCGCGTAGGCACCAGCAGGCAGCACCATCGACATCTGCAGCACCGATGGCACGGCGTACTTAGCCGTCTTGGACTTCTTCACGGTAAGTCCTTGGTGGGCGCTGGCGGTGTGAGGGTCCTGTGATAGCATCGAAGGGGCGGCAGCGCCGCCGCTGCCGCCTCCCTCGTCCCGTTCAGTGAACTGCGCCGACTGGTGTGGTGAGGACGAGTGGTGCCACCTGCGAAGAAGGCTGGAGCCGCGACGGCGCTGCGGTGGGGGTGGCGGCACGGTCGACCCCTCGCCCTCACTTCGCATAGACAGCTGATCCGATACGGTGCGGGCCGCCGCCTCCGCGTTCTCGTCTGCACCATTATTGCTACTGCCGTCCGCGTCGTCGCCGCCGCCTGTAGGATCGTTTCCATCACGGTTGCCGCCCGCAGGAGACGAACGCCGACCGCGATTGCCGCCGCCTGAGCGTGGCATGAACGAGTTGCGCAGGGTGGAGAAGGCGCCCGACTCGCTGCCGTCGTGTCGGTGCTGCGGCGCCTCGTGAACCGGCTCCTGCAGAACAATGCCCGCGTTGCGCAGCATGGCAGAGTCGAGCATGCTAGCATTGCGGCTGCGAAAACTGCCGGTGGGGTTCAGCATACTGCGGTTGGACACGAAGCCGCCAGCGAAGGTTCGATTCCCCACGTTTGAGTGGGCGACGCTGGCGTTGTTGGAGCCGGTGGTGTTGGGGGCCGCGGGATGGCCGGCGTGGTGGCCGTCAGTGGTAGGACTGTTCGGGTGGGAGATGGGACGAGGCCCCGTCGCCGCTTCTGCGGCGGTGGTGGTGGTGGTGGCCCCTCTGTGCTCGGCTGCCGCCGCCATCGCTGCCGCGTTCGAGAAGAAGGACATGTTGTCCATTCCTGCGCTGTTGGGGCCTAAAACGTACTCCCGCAGCCGCTGCCGCTCCTCCGGTGTCAACTTATATGAGAAGTGGCCGGCCCCTTTCTTGGAGAGGGAGGAGGAAGTCCGCGCCGGCCCCGCCATGCTTGAGCTCGTGCGATGGACGTTGCCAGCGGAGAGGGTGCGATTCTTGCCGCCTCGCATGACGCTGCTGTTATTGCTCTTGTTGTTTTGAACGGCATCGACGCCGTCGGCGGTGCCACCGACGGTGGTGGGGTGCGGCGCGAAGGTGGATGCCGGCGGCGGCACGAAGCCCGCAACGGCCCCCAGCGTCAGCGTACCGTCGCCACCTCGCGGTGGTGCGGTTGCGGTCGTCGTGGGGTCACCGCCGTCCGCGCCGCCGTCGTCGTCGTCAGACGTCGCCTCCTCCCCCTCCTCTGAATCGCTGGTGTTCAGCTCGCGCTGGATTGTCTCGATGTACACGGCCACAATACGGTCATAGCATTGCATCATGCCAAGTCGCAGCCGGGTAAGATCGGCGGTGGGCACAAAGGTCGCCTTGGACAGCGTCAGCAGGTACACCTCCACCGCCTCGTAGAAGAGCTGGCTGAGGTGACGGGTGTGGGGGGAGATGCGGTGCAGCACGACCCAGTGCACCGAGATGCTCGTCGCCGCGGCAGGGCCGGCGCCGATCATGTCGACGTTGTCCAGCACCCTCTTTCCGTCCCTGTCGCTCGACCCCTCGACATCTGCGATGGTGCTCGTCATGAAGGTGTGGTAGGCGTGGCGCATCATGAGCAGCGTCACGAGCAGCTTGCGCTGCGCTGAGACGAGCATGCGCCACGGCATCTCCGGAAAGCCCACCGAGTCCAATGTGGGCTCGGCCACCGCGCCGGGGATGTTCGACAGCTGCTGAGAAACCTTCTTTTGCATCTCGCCCAGCACCGCCAGCACATCGGCGCTGACGGCGGTGGCGCTGTCGGGGAGGTCGAGGTTGCGCAGTAGGCGGTCCGTCGCCTCCCGCGCCATGCGCAGACTCATGTCCAGCCCCGTGTTCACCTTCGTCCGTCCCCGCACGGGCCAAATGAGCGAGGAAATGATAAAATAGATGAGAATGGCAAAGCAGTTCTGCTGGATGCGCGTCGTCGCGTTCGGCTGGCTCTTATACTGCAGAACAATGGAGACGACGCTGTTGGCGAGGGCGCTGCCCAGCGCACCGTAGTCGGGGGCCGCCTGCACATAGGACCCGATGAAGGTCAACACGAGTGTGCAGCCGTACAGGGTGGGGCGGCGGCCGTTTGCGATTTGCACGGCGAGCAGACCGGTCAGGGAGCCCAGCACCGTGCCCAGCATACGCAGCGTCGAGTACTGGAAGCTCTCCCCACCCGTGGCGCGGTACACAAAGGCAATGATTTCTACACCCGCCACCGGACTTGTCGCGTCGTTCTTCAAGCCGTACACCTGAAAGATGGCCGCGACGATGATGCACACCGACAGCTTAATCGCCTCCTTCAGTCGACGCGTGATGGAGCGGCGGATGCGGATGGCGTGGTACAGGTCGACGAAGGCCGCCCAGCTACTCTGCAAATCGCGCAGAGGGAACGTCACGAAGTACCACAGGTTACTCGGTGGCTGGGCGGCGTCCTCGAACTTGCTGATCGTCTCCGTCAGCTCCTCCACACTGAAGAGGAAGAAGCCGAGGAGGATGTCGCTGTTGTCGGTGCGGTAGTCGGGGTTGCTCAAAATCACCTCATCGCGCACATTGGAGACCGCCTCCTCGAACCGCGTCCGGGCCAGTCGGAAGGCGGTCATGTCCGTCACGGACACCACGTTGTCCAAGTCAACGATGCGCAGGATGATAGAGTCCATCGCGGAGGCGATCAGATTCAGCTCCTCGCGAATGCGCTCGCCGAACTCGCGGCACATCGGCGTCTCCACCAGCGCCGGGTTGGCGCCCACCTGCTCAATCACCAGTGTCATGGACTGCACCACGTTGAAGACGTTCTTCAGGAAGGCCATGCGTGTTTTAAGCCGCGCCGCGTAGACGCCTGAGTGCGGCTCGTAGCCCATTTCCGAAAGTCCTTGCTGTGCCTTCGCCATGCTCGCTTGGATGGTGCTCCGCAGCTGTCGCAGACGTGCCACGTGCAGCTGACGCTCTAGGAGACTGTTCTTGACCCAGAAACTGCAGCACGCACCGTGCACGGAGAGGCTGACCGCGTCGCCGGTGATGACGATGTAGCGCCGCGCGTTCTCGCTGGACCAGCGAATGTACGGGAACATGAACGACGCGAGGCCAAATCCCTGCCCGATCAGGATCGTCGCGTAGTAGTTGCCGACGAATCTGTATCCCGTGTTCGCCCGCGAGGAGATGTACTGCATGAGCAAACTTGCAAAGCAGTAGGCGACCGTGCGCTTCATCTGCTCCGCCACGAAGCCCGTGACAAGGAGACAGCAAAAGAGAATAATAAGCGTCACCCATGAAGGACCGGGGTTGATCGCGATGATGATCAAGAGGATCACCAGACTGATGGAGAACCCCTTCAGCACGATGAACGTCTCACGCAAGCCGGCGCCGAGCGTGGGCTGGGTGGTCCAGTAGGCGAGGAAGACCACCGAGGTCGGCATCGGAAAGATTTTCCGCGTGCTCGGCTCCGTGCACAAGATCAGCGTCGGCAAAATTGTAAGCACCGAGCCGCGAATCGTCCAATCGAGCTTCTCCCACAGCCGCGGAGAGGCGAGGAGGTCGAACACGGGAGAAAAGAAGCCCTGGCGCTGTGGCAGAAACACACGCTGATCCCACGAGAAGGCGTGCAGTGCGTTCATGTTGCGCGTGCGGCAGTGGTCTTGCTGGGCCCACGAGTCCTTCTTCTCCAGCAGCGAGACTTCCACCGGGGGAAGGTAGTAGCTGCCCATTCCAAAGCTGATGTTGCGCCCGTCCTTCCTATTATTATTATTACCTCCATTGCCCCCGCTGCCGCCATTGCCGGCGGTGTCCGCCAGCAGGCGTTTCTGGACGGCGTTGCTAGAGGAGGTGGGGCTCTGGTCCGACGACCCACGCGACCACACACCCGCGTCCGGCGCCGTCTCCGCGGCGAAGTACTCGTCATAGAACTTCCCGGCCTGCTCGTTTTGCTTCTCGTACTTCCTTTCATCGCGTCGGCGCCTCAAACTGAAGTAGCGCGACTTCACGAAGGCGGACTCGTGGCTCCACACGTGCAGAGGATTGGAGGAGCCGGTGGCGATGGCACGCCGATGCCGCTCCGGGTCGGACAGAATGGACTCTATCGCCTCCTTGTCGGCCTCCTTACGCGCCTCCTGCCCACGCAGCCGCTCGCGCTCCTGCTCCTCCCTCCGCTCATTTTCATCGTTGTGCGCCGTGGGAGCGTGCGTCGACGGGGCATCGGAGCTGGAGCTGCGCGAGGCGGGATGCTCGGTAGAGCGCGCACTCCCCGCCCCCTCGCTGGGGTGGGCCGGGGTGAGAGGAAGCAAGTGGCTGCCGGCGCCGGTGCGGGGGAAGTCGCCGGGAAGCAAGCTGATCGGCGAGCCCGCGCTTGCGGAGGTGAGGGAGCCGGCGGAGTCCGTGCGGGGGAGGACGCGTGCCCGGACGTGCCGACGGCCCCCACGCGAGCTTGTCACCCCCAGCCGGGCTCCACCGCCGTTGCGACGCTCATGTCCTGTCGGGGAGCCGGCGAGGGACGGTGTCGCGCGTGGCGAGCTGGGCCCGGAGCTCGACTCCCTGGCCATATCGGCCGGTGGTTGGCGTGGTGGCACTGGCATGGCGTGTGGAGCGGGTCTTAATGCCTCTTATCCGAGTGTATGCTTTCCTGATTTTCTCCTTTTTACGTTTGCACCGCCCCGTGAAGCACAGCAGCAGCAGGAAGAGAAGCGTGAACAAAGGATGTATTCAAAAGCATTTGAAAAAGAAAGAGGTGAGTGTGTGGTTGTCGCCGTTTTCTTGGTTTTGGTTGTTTGCGCAGAGGTTATTCAGCGGCTCTGTCTCGGCTTCTCCTATAACTGCGACGACTTAGAGTTTCCTTCTTTTTCCTTTCCCCCCGCTACTCTCTCGCCGAGCAATCAGCAAAACTTTGCGACAATAAGCCAGAAAATAATAGTACTAATCGTTTGTAAATTAAGAATAATACTAATAATAAGGCTCTTACACCGACCCCACTGCTTGAAATCTATATGCAGCTGCCTCCTCCTATTCACCCTGTCGCGTGCACAATCCGAAGGGGGGAAAAGAGGGGAGAGGAGGGAAAAAACCGAAAAGAAAACAGACAGGCAGTCCTATGTATTTACACACTAGGTATGTCAAGCAGCGAAACCAAGAAAGAAAACAAGAGTAACACCACTACACGGTTATATATATATCAATATATTGATTTATAAACCAAAGAAAAAAAAGAAAGAAGAGAAAACGGAGAACAGCACACCGTCTGGGCTGTGTCTCGATCCTCCGCGACTTCCCTTCGCCAAGTCCTCACCGCACGGAAGTGAACAAAAAGGGGGCTCTACGGCAAGCAGGAAAAGGATAATAATGGAGGCAATTGCATTGAAAACAAGAAAAACAGAGAACGAGAGTGGGAAAATCTCCCACGCTGAGATTTCCACACACACAAACACACACAAGGTTCAATTAGACGGTTGAAAATAAAAATTTAAAAAAGGAACTGTAATAGAAAGAGAAAACAACACGCTCGTGTGGCCGTAAGCAGCCACGCGAAGCCCCGGAGTTTTATAACAAAACGGATAGAAAGCCCTCTGTGTATATATACGTGAGAGAGCAATGCAGAATATTGTACATGTAGACTGCAAAGACCCCAATGAGCAGTGCGATGCCTGCAACAGCGAAAGTATAGCGCAGAAGGGCATGGGGAGAGAAACACAAGCAGACGTTATGGAAGGAGAGGAAGAAGAGAAAAACCAAAATGAGGTTGAGAAGAAAGAGAATGGCGTGTCAATTCAGGACTCATCAGCTGGAGCACTCGCACTGCGTTCACATGCAACGCCTCTGGATCGGTCGAATACGTGTAAAAACAAAAGAAGAAAAGAAGAAGGACTCTCCCTCCCTCTCTCTCTCTCCTTCCCTTTCAACCAGAAACACGAGCGCGTGCGCTCTTAGAGCGTGCCTCACACTTCAGCCAAGAGTGGTTAGCCAGTGTCCGATTTCTTTTAGCACTAGCAGGGAAGCAACGATACGTTGCTCTCCGTTTTTTTTTTGGGGGGGGGGAGAGGGTCTTTTGTTTTGCGTGCGTGCGGTTGAGGAACGCGGTCGGTGAATACATCTAATAAGGTGGAATACAATAATACACGTGGAGGAAACCAAGCAAAGGCCAAAAAAAAAGAGGAAGAAAAGGAAAAAGAAACGTAATCCCGGTGAGGCGATTCCGTTCTTTGGGTTGACATCGAACGCGTTGAAGCGAAGCGGCTGACGTGCACCTGTGAGAGCAGCGAACATTTTGATAGAGAGACTCGAAAGAGATAGCGAGAGAAGAACAAAAATAGAAGAGAGAAAGTCGCCTTTGTTTTTTAGCGAATCGGCAAACATAAGCAGAACATCAGGGCAAAGGAGGAGAAAGGAAAAACCCCTACAAAAGGAGGAAAGCCCACTTCAAACACACAAGCACAGCGTAAAACACGAGGGAGGGAAGGGGGGGGGAGGAGAAGAGAGAGAGAGCTAGTGCCTTTCACGCAGCACGCAAACAAAGAGAAGAAAGAACCACTCTGAAACAAGCGCAGAATGCACTGAAGTGAAACCAGAAAAAAAAAACAGAGATCGGAAAGAGAGATGAAAGGTTTCGCAGACGGAGAAGATAAAAGAACCGGCGCAGCATTGACCGGCGGTGAAATTCATTGGCACGGAGTGCAAACAAGAAAAGAAAAGAAAGAAAAAAAAGGCTCCCAACGTCCTCACAAACGCTTCGCGAGTTCCGTCTCGTGCTGCATCTCCAGTATAGCTTTTTGCAGCTCGTTAATGTACGTCACCAGCGCCTGCGTACCAAACAGGAAGGCTTCTAAGCTGTGAATGTCATGGTTCGTCAGCACAAACTCGCCCTTCTCGGGGTCGAAGAAGGAGATGTTGTTCAGTACTTCACTCTCGTCGAAGTGGCTCATGGGGTCTGGCTCGCCGTCCTGCACGCTCTGTAGCAGCTCCGCCGTGCGATCGGCGCTGTGGTCTGGCTTTCCGTCACCCCCCGCATGGCTCGTGGACTGGGGCGGGGGGTAGCGCATGCTGTTCATGCTTTGGCTCCCATAGGTGGCAGCTACCTGGCGGGAGGAGGCCTCGTCCGCGTCCTGCGCACCTGCCGAGCTCTTCCTCTCCTTCTTGGTGTCAGTCTTAACGCTCTTCTTTTCCTTGTGCGGAGATGCCGGGGCCTTCTCGAGTCCGTCGGGGGTGTCGCCGCTTCGGTGCGCGTCCTTTTCGTCAGAGCTGCTGTGCGTGGTGCCGCCCTCCCCATCGCCGCCGACCAGGATCTTCTTCTCCGTGCTGCCGGTGAGGTTCGAGCTGTCGCGGCTGTCCATCTTCCTGCCCGCCTTGCGTTCTTCCTCCTCAGGGGTGCTGCCGCCGCTGTTGCCGGCGGGGTGCTGGGCCGCATCGTCCGCCGCTGCCGGCGGTGGCTCCTGCTGCGGCGACCCCCGACCCTCCTTGCCCTCCAGCGGCGTCACCCCAAAAGGTGAGTTTGCGTCCTCGGCGGAGTGGGCGCCGACCGTGGCGACGGTGCCAAAGGACCCGGTGTGGGCTGCGTTGGGTGGCAGCGTCGGTGGGCCGCCCATCACCTTCCCCGGCAGCGCGTTACCGGGCTCTGCCACGCCGCCCAACACGCCCGCCGCGCGGCCGGCACCGGACACCACCGGCGTCGAGCTGGCCATGCGCACGTGCTTGCCATCCACATTGGCTCCGCCCTCCCCGAGCGGGCTCGTGGCGGCATCACTGCCGGTGTGCCGCTTCGGCGACAGCACCGCTGGCATCGAGAACGCCATGGACAGTCGTCCGCCTGCTTTGCCCTCTTTCCCTGTGGCTCCTGCGGCGGCAGCCCCTACGCTTTTGGTCCGCGCCCCGGACTTGCGATTTGGCCGGGGGTCGTCTTCGATGTCGCTGAAGTCGCTTGTGGCGCTGTGCCGATCGCTGCGAATGCCGCGGTGAGAGCGCGTGAAGGACGTGCTCGGGGTGCTGTGCCCACTCGACGTCTCGTCGCCACCGTTTTTCTCTCGCTTCCCTTTGCGGGCCATCGCGGACGAGTTGCGACGTGGTTTGCGCCCGCCGTCCTTTTTGCTCTTCTTTCCCTTCTTGGATGCGGCGGTGGTGCTGCTGACGTCGTCGCCTTGCATTTCCTCAGCGTCGAGGTCGTGCGCCTCCTTCGGCTTCTTGTTGAACAGGCTGCCCAGGAAAGAAGCGTTCTTGAGAACGGGATGATTTTTGATAAAGGACTTGTTGGAGAGGTTCAGGCTCTCGAGGTGCTCCACGTGCGGCTCCTCGCCCGCCTTCGACTTCCCGCCAAAGGTTTTGTTATTATCATCGTTGTCGCCGTCATTCCCGTCCTTGTCCGCGTGGTCGTCGTCCTTGTCTTTCTTCACGGCGATGTTGTGCTTCTTGCGCAGCTCAGCCGCCAAGCCGTCGTCGCCGCCGCGCACGGCCATCAGCCGCGCATCGTTATTGACCTGCGGAGGGGAGCCGGCCATGGAGCCTTTCGCCCCACCACCACTCACCGCTGCGGCCGCCGCCGCCGCCGTCATGGAGACACCGGTGTTTCGGCTCATGAAAGTGGTGTTCCCCAGCATCGACTTGTTAGTCCCGAAGGTGTTGTTCCCGACGCGGTTGGAGACAAAGGCCCGCAGTGCGGCCTCCTCGTCCTTGGTGAGTTCGTAGCCCAAGTAACCCTTCTTCTTCTTCTTGCCCTTCTTCTTGTGATGCTCCTCGTCGTTGTGGGCACTCTTGTCAGACGACGACGCATCACTCGAGGAGTCAGAGGAGTCGCTGTCTGCGCGGCGGTGTGTCGCCTTCTTGCGGCGGGTCTCCTCCTTCTTCTGCCCCGCAGTGTTCGCCTCGTGCTTGTCCCTGTCGTCGTTGGTGCTCTTCTTAAGCACAGAAGTACTCGCACCGTTGGTGTCGTTCTTTCCTTCCCCACCGCCCGCGCCTCCATCGCCACCGCCGCCACCGCTACCACCGTTATTGTTGTTGTTGCTCTTGTCCAGCCCAGCCCCAGAAGAAAAGGTGCGGTTGTTCGTGGTGGGAGGGGGATGGCCGCTGCTGCCGGGACTGCCCTCACCGTGGCCACCGTAGCTGGGGTCGTAGTAGTCATCGTCCTCCGCGTAGGAGCTGCGGAAGGAGCCGCTGTCCTCCTCACCCTCTTCATCCTCGTCGTCGCTATCCTCACCCGCCACCTTGCGCGTGATGGTGCGGATGTAGGTGTCCTCAATCGCCTTGTGCGCCTCCACCATCCCGACGCGCAGGCGGGTCAGGTGGGACGTCGGCACCACCGTCGTGTTGCTCAGCGACAGCAAGTAGAGGTCGATGGCTGCGTAAATGAGGTCGGACAGGTCGCGGGCGTGAGGAGAGATGCGATGCAGCACCACCCAGTGCACGGACAACTCCATCGTCGAGTCGGCGCGGCTGGACATGAAGGTGTGATAGGCGAAGCGCATCATCGACAGCGCCAGCCACAGCTTCCGCTCCGCCTCCACGATGCGCTTCCACGCGTCTTCCGGGTACTCCACGGAGCCCATCGTCGGCTCCTCGATGGCGCCCGGTATGAACCGCACCTGCGTCCGCACCTTCTTATTCATCTCCAGCAGCAGCGCCGAGACATCCGCGGTGACCTCGCTGGGGTCGTAGGGCATGTCCAGGTTGCGCAGCATGCGTGTGATGGACTCGCGCGCGCAGCGCAGCGAAAAGTTGAGACTCATCTTCACCTTGGTGCGAGCCCGCATCGGCCACAAAATGGTCACTACCGCGAAGTACATGAGAATCGCGAAGCAGTTCTGTTGGATACGCACCATGGCGGCGTTCTGGTTCGTGTACTGCGTGCACACTGAAATCGTACTGCAGACAATAGCGTTACCCAGCGCGTAGAAGCCCGGGGCGGCCTGCACGTAGGCGCCAATGAACGAGATGCATATGATAAAGATGTACAGCACCCACCGACGGCCGTCAGCGATCTGCACGGAAAGCAAAGACGCCATCGAGCCCAGCACGGTGCCGAGCAGACGCCCCGAGGCGTAGTGGAAGCTCTCGGAGCCGGTTGGGTTGTAAATGAGGGCAATCACCGACGCACCCGCCATGGGGCTGACGGAGTCGTTGCCGAGTGCGTACACTTGGAAAATGCAGGGCAGCACCATGCACACCGCTAGCTTGATCGCCTCCTTCAGACGACGCGGGATGGTGCGACGGCGCACGACGGTGAGGGCGAGGTTCTTGAAGGCGGAGATGACGCTCTTGACGTCGCGAACGGGGAAGAGAAGCGCGTTCCGGAACGTGCTCGGCGGGTTTGCTGTCTCCTCAAACTGGCTGATCACCTCGCACATCTCGTCCACGCTAAACATGAAGAAGCCGAGCAGGATGTCGGACTCGTCGGTTTCGTAGTTCTCGTTGGTCAAGACCACGTCCTCACGCACGCGGGAGACCGCCTCCTGGAAGCGCTCGCGTGCCTCACGAAAGAACTGAATCTCCTGCGGCGTGACAATGCGCTCAAAGTCGCAGATCTTCAGCACCATGCTGTCCATCGCGGAGGAGATGATCGCTAAGTCGTCGCCAATCTGTTCGCCAAACGCGTTGCACATCGGCGTGTCGACGGAGCTCGGGTTGTCTGCGATGAGCTCCACGACGTGGTTGAGGGAGCCGAGAATGTTGTGGATGGACTTGCAAAAGTTGAAGCGGTTTGTCATGCAGGCCATGTAGGCGCCGGTGTGCGGCTCGTAGCCGGACTCGTCCAGCGCCGTCTCGATCTTGCCGATGCACTTCTCAGCGGTGGCGCGGAGTTGGCGCAGGCGCATCACATTCAGCTCACGCTCGAGCGGGGCGCGCACCCAGAAGCTCGACAGCGTGCCCTGCAGGCCAATGCTGAGACTGTTGGACATCGCCTTGATGTAGTGCCGGCCGATGTCGCTCGACCAGCGAATGAAAGGCACGAGGAAGGCTGCCGTGCCAAAGGCAAGTGCAATGAGGAGCCCTTCGTAGTACTGCCCGACGTAGTGGAAGTTGGTGCCTGTGTGGTCGGTGAGGTACTGCATGATGGTGGAGGCCAACACGTAGGCCGTCGTCTTCTTTGTCTCCTCAGCAACAAAAGAGGAGAAGAGCGTGAAGACGAAAAGCAATAGCAGCAGCAGCCAGTCCGGGCCCGGCTGGATGGCGACGACGATGATGAGAAAGATGAGCCCAAATGAGAAGCCTTTGAGGGCGATAATGAGTTCACGCAGGCCGCTGCCGAAGGTGGGCATGGTGATCCAGAAGGCGTTGAAGGCCAGGGAGGAGGCCATGGGGAACTGGTTCGTCGTGGCCGGCTCAAGAGCGAGCACCATCGTCGGCAGCACCGTCAGAAGAGAGCCGCGGACGGCCCAGTCCAGCTTCTCCCAAAACCGCGGTGTGCTCAGCAGGGCGAAGAAGCGGGTACCAAAGCCGGTCATGGGCAGCTGCCGGCGCTGATCCCACGGGATGGCGTGCAGAGCGTTGATGTTGCGTGTGCGGAAGTTGCGCTCATCGCGCTCGTCCTCGTCGCCCTCGGCGTCCATCTGCTTCTTCAACTCCTTCGACTGGGTCGGGGCAGGGTTGCCCATGTCTCCACGCTTCGAGTGCATCTTTCGCCCATTGTTGCCGCTACTGTTATTGTTATTGCTGCTACCGCCACCACCACCGCCACCACCACCGCCACCGCCACCGCCGCCACCGGCCCCCGCACTGCCACCGGATGTACGTGGCGTGACGGCCTTCTGCTCTTCGCTGGCACGCAGCACCCCCTTGCTGCTCCCGCCCCCGTTTCCGGAGCCGAGGGAGGCGGTCCCCACCCCACCCCCTGACGTTTCCTTGGCGTGCAAGCCCGCGGCGTTGGAGGCTGACCGCATCTGAAACAGATTTGCCAGTCTGTGCTCCGCTGTGCCGATCTTCGAGTTCAACGACCCGTGCAGAAAGCCAGGGAGGCCGCCCTGCTCGGAGCGGGACGTGAAGGTGCCGGTGGCGCTGCCGAAGTTGCTCCCGTTCGTCACCGTCTCCGAAGCCGTGATGACGCCGCTGTTGCTGCCTGTCGCCCCACGCAAGGTGCTCGGCATCGCCGTGACGGCGTGGCGGCCGCCACCGTAGGCGCTCACACCGCCGCCGTTGGCTGTCGACCGGATGTGCCCTGTGCGACGGCTACCGCTCTGCTCGGAGAGAGCACGACCGTACCGCGCCGTGGTCTGAATCGCCTCCTCCTGCGCGGTTAACGTGGGCATCCGCGTCGGGGACGGCGTCCCCAATCGCGGCGTCGGCGAGTTTGGTCGGCCTCCCGCCACGCTGTAGGCGACAAGCGGCTGCAGACCGCTGCGGTCGTTGCTCTTGAAAGCGCTCGCGTGCTGCGCCTCCAGAGCGCGCAGTTTGCCAGCTGTCAGCGTTCCCTGTTGGCCGGCCTGTCGGGTCTGCATCCCTAGCTTACTCTGATCGTACGGGAGGACGGGGTCGTAGAGGGCGAGGTCGTCGTTGCCGCGGTTCGATTTCATCCGCTCCACCGCACTCAGCCATAGCGGCTGGATGGCGCTGCTGCTGCCGCCGCTACTGCCCGAGGGTGTGTAGCGGCTGGAGGTGTGCGTGCCGGTCGTGCCCGGCGATGACTCCGTAGCGCGCACGACACCGCGCTGACGGGACCCGACACTCAGCGCCGGCCCGCTCGACCGCGATGGCGAACGCCGCCCGGTGCCGGCGAGCGAGTCGAAACTGTACGGCTGCGGCGCCGCGGCGGTCGAGAGGGTGGTGGCGTTGCCGCGGTCGCCGAAGAGGTGGCGAGACCCGCTCTCGGAGCGGCTGTGGGCCATCCCCGGCTCCCGCTGCGTCGGCGACACAACGGAAGACGACGACGCGAGCACCGATGGGTACCGGTGGTGGTTCAGGGAGGTCTGGGTGCCAAAGTTGGGGCTTGCGCCATTACGTTGCATCGGACTGTAGCCCGCCTGCGCCGCCGCGCCACCGTTGAGCATCGGAGACGGCGAGGTAAGGTCACTAAAGTGTGAGTTTAACGAGTGACTGGAAGTGGTGCGCGCGAGATGCATACTTGGAGACCCCGGGCGTGCGCTGCCGGCGGCGGCGGGCATCGTCGCGGGTCCGACCGGAGACCCCCCGACCGGCGAGGTGGGTGGAAACGTGCCGTTCGAGTTGCGGCGCTGCGGCGAGCGCGGGGCTACAAGTCCGGCAGTACCGGTGTTGCCCGACGCTGACGAGGAGGAGGTCGTTGCCACCAACATGGAAGGCGCCTTCACCGTGAGACTTGCCGGTTTCGTCGGGAGAGGCGCGGCGGTGCCGGGGTTGGAGGCGGACTTCGTGACAGTTGGGATGGGTGGCTTCGAGCTCGACACGAGAGGACTCGATTGGGTCGCCGTGAGGATGCCACCACTGTCCCCGTGCGCGACGGCGGAACGCCGAGACGGTGCAACCAAAGAAGAAGTCGCCGAAGCATAAAAGGCGGCGTTGCTCTTCGGGTCTTGATGCGTCGTAGCAGTCAAAGGGTGTGCGGTGAAGGAAGAGGAGCTCGCCTGTCCCTGCGGCTGTGCCACGATGGACGGCACCGCATTCGTGTGGTGGGGAGACGTGCTCGCCGAGACATCAACCGAGTTGGACTCCGTCTTTGGAATGGACACAAAGCTAGAGTTGGCGCTCACGTGCAGGGTATCGGTGCCGCGGTGGAAGGAGCTGGGGGTAAAGGTCTGATTCGCCACTGGCGGCCCCGATAGGAACTGCTCCACGTCGGTGGGGGCTTGATAGCTGTTGAAGGGCCGCGTCGAGGCAAACGTCGTGCTGTTGCCCAGGGGCTGGCCAAAGGAGTCGTTCGTGAAGCTCGTGGAAAAGCCCGCGTACGGCCGGGATCTGTGTGGGTGGAGAGCGTCATTGTCGGAGTGCTCGTCGAGAGATTGCAAGTTCGAGGAATCTGCGCTGGTCTCTCTCTTCGGGCGTTGAGAAGAGTGGAGGGCGTCGTTTGCGACGTCGTCGCCACTGCTCACGTCAGATCCTCCCACCGGACTGGCTTCTCTGGACGCCATGATGATTGCTGTGCGACAGCGTTTTGAAGGATGTTTTCTTTTTCAATAAAGAAAAAAAAAGAAGCGGAGGGAATCAAAATGACAGGCCTTTTATCAATAGAAATAAGGTCAAAACAGTTAAAAAGGGGTGTTAATTACCGAAAGATCCAAAAGCGATGTGAGGGTGAAAGTAACTATAAAGAGAGAGAGATAGACAAAACGAAAAGCTGCTTAGAAAACACGGTTTTTCGTGCGTGAATAAATATATATATATATGTGTGTGGGACAAGACGGATACGTGTTTATATAAATAATAGCCGCTTGTACACTTCAAAAGGAAAAAGAAAAACAGAAGTGAGAAAAAGGGGAGAAAAAACACAAAAAGAGAATAATGATCAAAGAAAGAAAACAGAAATCCTCGAAAGGTTGAATTCCACGTGTGTGTGTGTATGTGTGTCTGTCTCTCTCTCTCTCTCTCTGCAGCTCTCGTGTGGTAAAGAAAGAAGAAGAAAAAAGCCCCGCAGAGCAATTCAGCTGAATTACGTACAACAGCAAAAGGAGACCGAAATTGTTTCTGCGTTGTTAGACGAACACGATTTTCTTCTTTCCTACTGCGAGCCTTAGGTTCCTTCTGTTTTCTCTCTTGTGGACGGAAGAAGAGCCTCCAGTAATGGAGCGACACTGACGAATGCGGCGTATCACAGTGCTGGATATCGCCAGCTCCCAGGGTCTTCTCTGCACTGATTCACAGCAAAACTCTACTGGAAAAAAAAAAGAAAGAAGTGAAGTGACAACGCCAAAAGAAAAAAAAGAAAGAGAGCGAGCTTATAGCCACGTTGGCTCTGAGCTGATTGTTTTTCCTTTATATAACAACAATAATAATAATAATGATGGTGTAGAAGTGTACAAGGATGAAGCAGCCGCTACGCAGGCTTGAAAGACGACACGAACACTACCGATTATGCTGCTGCTGTCGCAACGGAGTCAGCGAGAGTGGAAATGGCATGTTTGCAGCGCAGACGCAACAGCCGTCAGGAAAGCCAGCGACAAGAGAGTGAGGGAGCGCGACAGTGAAGATGAAGAAGAAGATGAGGAGAACGACAACAAGAAAAAAAAAAGAAGGAAACACGTGAAAAGGAATAAGCCAAAGATGCATTTTGTGGTGCTATCTTTGGCTTCTCAAGAGCCGGTGCTGTCCATGTTGGGCACACACAGACGCACACTAACACATAAGAGTTCTCAGCAAGTGAGTTCGTCTTGGTTAACAGGCAAAAAGGAAACTGGGCAGCTTTGATGATACACATTCGTTTACCACGGTTATTTCTTTGCTGTTTCTTTTCTTGGTACTTTTGTTTTCAAAGGATCGTAGTTCTAAAAGAGAGCGCAGCAGCAGCAGGACACAGGACAGGTTAATAAGCAAATGGGCTAGGCGCCCGTCTACCAGCGACACGGTCGGCGGTACTGCTACGGGGCTGCAGCGCTGTCAACGCCAGAGTGCGGTTTCCAGCACCCCAGCGGTACAAAAAGTATAAGTTGAGTCGCGCGGCCCGCTGCAGGGCAACCGTGCACTCTGCCGGCACGCACAGATCATAAGCAACTCGTTCGTAGAGGGGGATGCACAGGTAGTACAGCTTGAGGAACTGCAGCGCGCGGGCGACGTTGTAGAGCACCTCCCCGGCCGCACTCGACGGCTCCACGGAGAGCCGCAACTGCTGATACCGAGTGAGGTAGTAAATCGCCGCCGACACACACGCCTCACGCAGCCGGGTGCGCTTTTGATGACTGCAGAACAAGTAAGACACACCCACCATGAAATTGAGAAAGACATCCGACGGTCGCTCCTGCAGCGCCACCAGGTACAAGTTCAGCACTCGGGTGTAGCTGCGGGTTTGGTGGTACCTGTTCGCCAGCAGCACGAGCAGAGCCGGGTCGCCGTAGCCGTCCGCGACGGCCCGGTACAAGATGGAGCTGCGGTCCTCGCAGCGATTGAGCACGCCGTGCATCATCTCCACCACCGCACGCCGCCGCTCCTCCGCCGTGTCCTCCTGCAGCAGTCGTAAGCCAACCCGGTAGGCATCTTCGCCCTCTCCGGCAGCAAGGGCAGCGCGCAGCAGGGCGAGGCGAAGCGGTCGCCCGAGTCGGTGCCCGAGCTGCCGCAGACGCCGCCTTTGCTGAAAGTGTGTGAGGGCGACGAAGGCGAACTCGCGCGCCTCCGTGAACTTGCCCACGGCGCTGTAGCAGTCCACCACGGCGACGGCGAGAGCGATGAAGCCAGCCTTGCCCAAAACCTCCATGGCTTCCTGGAGGGTGACTTTGTCCCCCAGCCCGGTCCCACCGTTGACGTTGTTGGTCGCCTCCGCCAGGGCCTCCCACGGCTCGCTTGCGTCCTCCTTGCCTTCCGCGCCGAGCACCCCGCCGCCTGGGGCGAAGCTGGAGGCTTCCAGAAAGAGCTGCGCCATGGCGGGGTCGTCGAACTGCTTACTCACCTCTTCGAGCGACGGCAGCTCGAAGGAGTCTGGTGCCGTGTCCGTCAACGCGTTCTCCTCGTTCGCTGTCGTGCTGTTGCTGGCATCGCCTTTGCCTTCTTCATCGTCGTTCCTCCTCTCAGAGTCCGCTGCGATCTGTTCTGCCTGCGTCAAAAACCCTTCTAGCTCTTCCATGTCCCTTTCCTTCTCGTTCAGAGTGGTGTAGCTGGATGGGACCGCGTGGCCGCCGCCGTCGCCATCCTCCTTCCTGGTCCTCTTCCGCGTGCTCCTCCCGGCAGCACGGGTGGACTTGGGAACTTCGGTGGCGGAAGCTCCGTCCTCACCCGCACGGACATGTCTGGTCGCCTCCGGAGGAAAGGGGGACACAGGTTGCTCGTTGTCTCCCTCGTTCACTTCGGCCGGTTCTGCTTTCACTGCCTCCACCGCTTCGTCCTCGACCTTCGCCTTGTCTTCTGTTGTCCAGAAGGCTGCGGGAGCCATGTGAAGAATCGCCTCCCGTCGCTCCTCAGCCGTTTTCGGCCCTGTCACAGACTCCGGCTTCTCTCCGTCAACCGTGTCACCTTCTTCCTCTGCCGCGGCGGGCGCTGCGTCCGTCGCGTTTGTGTCGGCCGTCGCCTTCACCTTTCGCGGCCGGCGCCGGTTGAACTGAAAGATGGTCGACGTGTCCTTCATGCGCTCCTCCGCCTCCTTCTTGTCCCATCCCGCGGCAACCGAGGCGGCAGCGGAGGCGCCGTAGACGGTCGTCGTCAGCGACTCCAACCCGCGGCGGGACAGCTGCTGCCGCGCCACCGACGACGACGCTCGAATCGAAGCAGCCAACGAGAAGGAGGTGCGGGCCGCGACGCTGCTGCCGGCCGCGCCCTTCACCATACCAGCCAGGCTGGACGCCGGGATAATGGCGGAGCTTGCACGTGTCATGGTGGGCAGGTAGAGCGCCGCGGAGGAGCGCCGCGACGACGTCCCTGGTGCGACGGACTGCGTGTCGCCGTCCTCCTCACTGGACAGCAGCACCTCAAAAATGGAAACGCCCAGCGCGATGGCCTCCACGTAGCGCTTCGCGCTCTGGAAGACCTGGACAAGAAACGCACCGAGCTGGATGCGCTGCAGAGCCGGCTCGTTCTCCCGCAACGAGAGCACCCCCACGGCGGCGGCGGTGTCGTTGCGTTGGTAGAAGAAATACCGGCCGAGCAGCATGCGCGCCTGCAGGTGGGTTGGCTCCAGCTCCAGCACGCGCTCTGCGTAGAGCTTCGCCTCGTCGTACATCTCTCGCGCGTAGGCGCATTGCGCCTCTCCGAGGTAGGCTGCGGCGAGCACCGTCTTGACGTCGCCCTCCTCCGCTCGCAGCACGTCGAGGGCCTCGGTGGTCGCCTGCACCTGCCCCACCGATGCGGTGTCCTGCATGAGCGCCAGCTCCATCTCACGCACCCCGACTTGCTGGTGCAGGCGACTGTACGCAAATTGGTGATAGCGAGAGAGGGAAGTGTACAGCTGTGCTGCTTCAGCATGCATGCTGACCTTCTGCAACGACACGGCGGCGTCGAGCAGCACGTCACCGTAGTCCTCCATGGAACAGGTCTCAACGAGATGCTGGAACACGTCACGGCACGGCTGCTCCCATACGCCGCCAAGAAAGGCGTAAGCAACGCCAAGGCGGACCAGCAGATCCGGCGGCAACTCCATCACATCCACCTCCAAGCACCCGGCGGCCATGTTTAGGAGCTGCACCGTGTCGCTGAAGCTGCCCTGCTCATTCAGCAGCTCCGCATGCACGTTGACCAGGGTGAGTAAATTCTTCTTACTCTGCTCCGTCGGGAGCTCAATGCGCTCGCCGTACAGTTGATGAATGACGCCGCCTGGCCGTGGCCCCGCTTGGCTGGACGTGCCGCCACTGCTGTCACCGACACCCGTGCCGAATGTCGTAGGAGACGCGGGGGAGGCCGGAGAAGAGGAGGTGAGCACGTCGTCGAAGCTGAACTCGTCGAGCGAGGTGGCCGCTGGCGAGAAAAGAGGAGGTGGAGACGCGGTCTTTTCTTGTGTGGCGTTGTCTTCGCCATCCTCCTCTCCGCCAAAGAAACGCACCCGCTTCGACACACGCTGACCAGACGTCGGCTGCTGCGGCGACGACGACGATGGCGAGTCGGCGCCCAGAAGCTCGTCGTCCCCTTGGTTGGTCGCCATGTTCGGAGCCTCGATGCTGTCCTGTGTGGTAAGTGGTGCCTCCGCAGTTGCTGGGTTGGGAGGGGGTTGAAAAGCGTACTTGACGCTGCTCTCGACCAGCCGCTGTAGGGACGTCCATTTCCCCAGTTGGAAGTACAGCGAGGAGAGCAAAGCGAAGACTTCAAAGTCACGGCACCGGCTGCTGTTCCAAAGCGGCACCAGAACGTTCGAGGCACGTCGCACCTCGCCCAGGCCGATCAGTAGATCCGCCAACTGCAGCTGCAAAGCACGATAGCGTGTCTTATCCTTTTCGAGAGCGGACATGCGTTGGAGGCACACCACAGACTTAAAATAACGCTGCTGGGACATGAATTCGTGCAGCAGCTCCTCCCACAGAACAATGTCGCGCGCCAAAAAGGCTTGCAAGAGACGGAAGTCGTTGGCGCGGTCAAACTTGCCTTTCGACTCGGCAATAACGGCGAGCAGCGCAAACAGGTGCGCCGTCGGACGAATGCGCAGCGCCAGCGTTGCCGCCTGCTCCGCCGCAGAGGCGTCGCCCTTCAAGAAGAAGTCCTGTGCGGCTGTCACGTGCGCTTCGAACTCGCGGTGCAGCGCGCCAGAGGAAAAGTCGGCGCGACGGGACTCGCGAACGCGCTTGACGAGCGAGTTCGTGCGGCCATCACCCCCCTCACCGCCGTCTCTCTTCTCCTTCTTCTTTGGCGGCATTTTTGAATCCACAAGACAATAAGCGAATTCAATCGATCTATGAGGTATTTGGTCTTCTCGTTTGTCGGCGTCCACACAGGTGAAAGCCGGAGAAAACACGCACAAGCAAATAGCAGCGAAGGTAACTTTGCATGCGCTTGCTCCGTGCAACACTTTTCTAGTAGTTTACTGCACTTGAATGCGACCGTGGTCGGTGAAGATGCGCTTGAGCACGGAATGGAAGAGGGAGAAGAAGAAGAAAAAGGTAGGAGGTTGGTGAGTGAAGAACGCGTACATACTTCTTTTTCTTCTTCTTTGTAGGAGTGGGTCATTGAGCAGCTGTTCCACAGAGACGTAAATCGAGTACAAACGTTGAATACATTAGAAGTTATAATGAAGTACGTCGACTAACACGCGTCTCTCTCAAGGGCAGAGAAGCGCCTGCATTGCTTTTCTCCCTTACGCATGTGAGCGTGGTAAAAGAAGGAAAGACACGCACTTCTTGTCGTAGCCGTCGTGCGAGGAAAATGAGATAGAGGCCATGCATACCCATCAACCCTCCCCCTTCATGTCAGTATTCCGCCGGCGTTTCTGCTTTAGTCTTAATAAAAGCGTTCATTACAATCATTTCCAACAGCGAAGAGGGCTTTTTTAAAAAGAAGACTCACAGAACCACAGGGCATGAGCGTCCCGTGTCTGCAACGAACAGTGGTGCATCTTCATAGTCTTCCCTTTTTGCCCCCCCCCCCTCTTCCCTCCACTTCCCCCTCCAAAAACGACCGCTTTTACCCTTTCTCTGCCTTCCGCACCGCTGCAAACTTCCCGCTTATCTAACACTTTCCTTGCGTCCTTTTCTTTTCAATAAAAAGCCCAATTGAAGAGAAGGAAGGCAGCACCGCACACATATAGAGGATACGTATATACAGCGCTTTAGAGAAGCGCGCCGCAGCCAGCGGGGAGGTGAGAACGTGCGGTGCAGAGAAGCGAAGCAGCTGCGTCATCGAAGCTACCCTGAAAGCACGCTTCTTTTCTCTCTTTTTTTTTTTACGGAAGTCGACGTGTCGACAGAAGAAAAAAAGAGGCAGATTAAACGCAGAGAGCTCAGCAGCTCTCCGGTCACCACCGGGGGGAGGGGAAATCTACACGTTTGGTGCAACACGGTTTCAGCAAATGAACCCGACCACGGCAACAATAGCATCAATAGTACGGCAAAAGAAAGAAGAAGAGCGAGCGCAGCCCATCTGCGAAACGTGCGTCACCGCAACGAGAACATCAACAACCGTTGTTTTGTCTACTCAGTTTCGATACGAAGCTGAGTCACATTATCGCCTCCGATCCCTCCTTACAACTTGCCGGTGAGCTTCACGAAGAAGTGGAGGAGAATGACCGTGACGATAAACCCACCGCACGCGACGAGGAGCTGCATGGGAGCGATGGTGAACCCGGTCGGCTCTAAGTCATTCACCGGCTGGCGGGGGCCTGCACCGGCCTGGGCGGCGCGACGCTGAGTGACACGCATGACGTACGGTTAAGAAAAGTGAAGATTTGATTTGCTGAAAAAAAAAAGGAAAAAGAAACGCCGAGAAAACGAGCTTCTCTTCCTTTAGAAAATACAAATATATATGAGGATGGAGTGGGTGATGAATCCCGAGAACAGAAAAGCGTGGTAATTACACTAGACATTGTGTGCGCGTGTGGCACAGACGAAGAGAAGGAAAGGAACAGCGGAGAGGCATGAGGAAGGAAGAGACGCAGTAGCGAAACGCTTTATTAGAAAGGCACCAGTGGCGTTAGAGTGGTCGAACGGGGGAGGATCGAAGATGTCGGCAAAACATCGCCTCCTTCGTTGACAATGTGCAAAGATGGATGCCCTTCGCCTCCGTACGTGCGAAGCCATCAAGATATCAATGAGAATCAAGGTTTGGGCAAAGCACGCTTGCGGAGCTCGCGCTGTCAGAAGAAGCTCATCACTTCACGTAATCCTCTGAAATCTTCCATGGAATAAGCGGGAAAGAAAAAAAATAAGATGAAAAGGTACAAAAAACAAATAGAGGAATCCACTTCGAAAGCAAAAAAAATCATGGCACTTACACAAATTGGGACGCCACTGGCAACTGTCATGTTGGCTGTTTTGCGGTCTGCTCCACGTAAAGTCGTTTGTATTTCGTCCGCTCTTCAGCGATCAGCGCCAGCTGGCGTTCCTTGTCCAGCAATGCGCCAAGCAACTCCTTACACTTTCTCTCAGCCAAGACGACCGCCGACCTACTCGCATCCGAAGTGTCCTTGGCAGACCACGGCATACAAACGCTTTTGTGTGACCCAGGGACGTCTGTTGTCATCGCAAAGGTCGGCGGGGGAAACGCAAGCTGCCGCCGCTGCTGTTCCTGATGTTGTGCCTGCTTTGTGGCCTGCGTCGCCTTTTCTAGGGGCGCGGCAAGTTCTCTTCCTTCAGGCGCCAGAGCCGGGTCATTGATGCAGCCCGCATCGGTCGGAGGAGAAGCAATACAACTCGGGTTTATTTCGTTGTCTGCGCCCGCCTCCTGTGTCCTTCTCGCCGCCTCTGTCACTGCATGCGGTGCAGGACCCGTATGCAACGGAGACCGACTCAGCTGTGGCTGAGACGGCATTTGAATGATCAAATCTTCAGCTGGTTCCTCTTGTGGCTCGAATTCTGGCGTTTCGACCCTCACCCTGCCACTTCCAACCGCCGCCGTTGCATCGCCAGCACAGTCATCCTGAGAAAGACCACTGGCGTCGGTGCTGCTCGCAGAACTTCTATCGACAGTGCCAGTTGTAGTATTCACCACGCTCTTCTCTGCCGCTTTTCCATTTGAGTCTTTCGCTGCAGATGCGTTTGTTAGTGCAGAAAGCACTGAAGCATCCGCCATGTTATAGGCGCTTTCCGCGGTATCCGCATGCGGACGGGATGGCGCCTGATGTGGGTGTGGTGGGGAGTGGAAACGTGGTGCCGGCGATGACCCATTGGAGGCGTGAACGCACTCAGGGTGTTGGTTGCCGGGTCCAGGGAAGAAAGGGCTGTGTGACGGCGACACCTGCGTGGAGCCAACGCCAGTGGCAGCAGCGTGTTTCTCCGAAGTGTCGGCGGACACGAGAGACGAGTCGTCCAGTTGTCGGCACACGCGGTTTCGCCATCTGTGCAGTTCGGCTGCTCGCGTCCTCCAGCGCTTTTCGGCGACAAGTGCTGCGTCCAGCTCCCGACGAGTAGCGGTGTGGGTTGCTTTCTCCTCGTGGAAGGCGCGCCGCAACGCGTCGACAGTTTCTCGCCAGGTTGTCTGCAAGCACGCTTTCACGTCCGTGTCTTCGACGCTGCAGTTTGATTCAGCTAGATGCCTGTCGTCTCCGTTCTCCGTCTTGCGTACTTCGGCGTCCCTCTCACTTCCTCGCGCCGCGTTGATCTGCACCGTCAGCTCTGCCTCCCGTTGCACCCATTGTCGTTGTAACTGGTGATGCGCCGCCCAAGCCTCGGTGCACTCTTGTCGCAACTGTGCGACGACCACCTCGTAGTCGTCCAATGCCATATAGCAACGGCGCAGCTCTCGCTGCATGAGGATGAACTCTCCGATGGACTGCTCGCTGTGCATGCAACGACCGTCACTGCAGAACGAGGTCGGCGTTACTTCCTTTGATAGTAAGACGTTAAGACGCCGAGCACCGGGAGAGGCCTTTATTGTGCTGGATGTCGTTGTCTTTTCGAAGCTGGTACCTTGCGTTACTGCCGAAGCGTCCGTTAGTTGACTTGTTTCTCTGCACTCAGACCTTTGTAACGGGTCTTGTAGCGTGTGGGTCTCGGCGCGCGCTGTCGCTGAAACGCCTTCCTTGTTGACGTGCGTGCTCTCCGTGTCGCTGGCAGACTGTCCATGCTCCATCAGGCGCACGCGCATTACGGGTACCCGTGTGCCAGAAGCTGTTGCTCGCTTGGGTTGGAAAGAAGGTTGGTTGTAGGTCGGTGGTCTTGCCTGTTCCTGTATCGCCGCTGCGTCCGCTCTAGTGAGTGAGTTGCTTGCCGGAGAGGCGCGAGCAGCAGTCGACTCTTCTAACAAAGAAGGAGACGATCCGACATCGCTGGAGAGAGCTGCCGTAGGTTTTGGTAGCAGACTACGACGAGCATACCCTGTTCGTTGCTTCGCGGTCTCACCCTTTACAGCAGACGACGGCAGCTGCGGAGCTCGTGTAGGAGATGAGGCGCTGCGTGGTGACGCGCGCCGCAGGAATCTGGCCTGTGAAGTGCGATAGCGGTGCAGAAGAGGTGCCCCGCTTTTGAAACCTTCCGCAGCGGGCAGCACGTGAATCCTTAACTCCGGCCTTGACATCGTAGAGGACAGAGGTTGCGAGACAGAACGATAAGGAACGACCGCCGGCTTTGCCGGTGCGGAGCGTTGGGACGGGCTGCGACTCAAGCCCGCAGAGCTAGGCGAGGTTGCGATGCGATTCTCTACACTGATCGAAGGAGAGTTTTCTACACGGCCGATTTGTGCCACTTGAAGGATAGTCTTGCTCGCATCGGCTTGCGTTTCGCCCAGCTGCTGGCGTTTGTGCACACTGGTTGGGTAGTAGTTGAATTCGCCGTCTGCGGAGCGGTAGCCCGCCCCGCCAGCGCGCTGCGAGACCACAGCAGGAGAGGGTGACCTCCGTACGCCGGAGAAAGACTCGTGCATGTTCACTGTTAATAATAATAATAATAGTATGGTGCGATCAAAAAGAGTTAAAAATGTGACTCCAGTCAAACTCTTTGCGTCAACGGCAGTTATACACTCTATGAATACTGTTTGATTTAACTTTCAAGCAAGCAGTTCAAAACTCAAATTCTATGTCTTGGCGTCTATCTATTCGACTCTATAACAAGATTGTTCTAATTGTGTCCCCCCACGTGTCTAGCAAAAGCTGTTGAAGTGCTTTGCTAGTTTCACCTTGAAACAAATAATAATAATATAAAAGGCTCTCTCAGGAATGCTGTCTTCTACGGCTCTGATTGCGGCAACGACGGCCTACATAGTAAATTCATTGGATTTTGGTCAACGGAAAAGCAATGGGACAAATGAATCAGTTAGGGAGAGGAGAACAGAGAAGAAATATGTGTGATGGGCATCTCTACCTCTACTTGAGCTGCATTCTGAGTCCTTGAGCCAATTGGTTCTCCTATATTGTCGGCTTTATTGTTGTGTGTTGTGTGTTGTGCACGCGTGCGTTGCAGGCGAAACTGTTGAGAGCATGGAAACTAATGTGAAAATAGCGGGTGTACACGGTGCAGACCAGAAAAGAAAGGAGGAAAGAACAAATATGTGAAAACTGAAACAAATGGCTTTGATAGAAGCACCAACAAAGAAGATATTAAAATAAAGTGCGCTTCTTTTTCAGCAAGATGACCAAAATAAAATAAAAACGTAGAATGCGTTCCTCTCTTTAGCAAAGGCGGCGCCGTTTTGCGCAAGTTCGTGGCTCTGCGAAGCTTATCGATCGTAATTTGATGGCAGCTGCACCCACTTCATTGCTTGTTGTGGTGACTTCACCTGCGTTTTGCGAAACCGCGCCACCGGACACTCCTCCTGCACGCGTTTGCCGAGCTGCTCAATCTGCAAAGGCGTCGCGTTTGGCGCGTCCACCATAACGTTCATTCCGCCTTCTGGCGTCTTCTCAAACTTGATGTTGCGCAGGTCCACGCCCATCTCGCGCGCAATGTCGCGGGCGTGGGACTCGCTGCACCACTCTAACGCCTTGTCCATGAAACCACCCAGGGGACCACCGAAAGGAGAGCTCCCGCCAGCGCCGCCCATGTTGCCAAGACCGCCGCTGCCACCTTTGCCGCCAAACAAGTTGAACCCCTGACCACCACCACCGCCAGAGAATCCTTTCGAAAAGCCGCTGGTGAAGCCACCGAGAAAGAGACGACCGACGTTGCGTTGCATCATTTTTTGTGACACACAGCGCTAAAAGTTTCGGTGGTGTTATTGGCTTTGCGTGCAACAAGAAGAAAAAGGTAGTTGAAAGAAAGGAGGCGCCGCACCTTCTTTGTTGTATTTTTAGAGCAAAGAGCTGATCCAGTGTTGAGCGACGTCTTTTCGGTATAGGTTACAGATGTGCTGATTTTGTACTCTTCTTCCTTTTTGCTTCCAGTCGACGGTTATTGCGTAAAACACACACAACAAAAAAAAACAATGAGAGTTGTCCCTCTCTCTGTTGATGTGCACAAAACCAGTTTAACGACCATGCATATACGAGGACAAGTAGGAGAGAAAAGAAACGGAAGAGGATACTGTTCGATAGTACCGAAAAATGTCCGCGATCCAAGATTGATGAAAACTTGCAACAGCGTGCAGTCTTACCTCCCAGAGAACAATGCAGTTGTACTTCTCGAGTGCCGGTGATGGGCATTTCACCTCCTTCATCTGCCTCGTCTGTACCTACTTCCTGCAGGTAGATGAGCGTGAAAGGCGGATGATCTCGCCTTCAACTGAAGCCATTGTTCTAGCCTTCGCTTTTTCTCTTTCTACAGTTGGCGATCACTCTCTACAAAGACACGTAACTGGTAGACCGGATACAAAGAAATGAAGAGAGCTTTCATAATAAAACTGAAATGAGAGAAAGAAAAAGGTGAAACCGTTGTAACGCACCTTAGAACGACGAACGAGAAACAAAAGCTGCTAGTTAAAACGTCAATAGATTCATCCAACGGGTCGACTGAAAGTGGTTGCATCTTCTCCCTTAACTTTCCCATGCATTTCGTATATACGTATAAAAAATAGATTGAGTACGCTATCAAGAGTCACTCAAACGAATGAAAATATGTAGTACTTGAAAATAAATGCGTCAAATCCCTTTCGAGAGAGTTTCAACGCGTTTCGTATCTGTGTCTTTGAAGTTGCTCTGAAAGGCTTCTTTTTCTTCTTTTGGCGTGGTGAATATACCACGTTTAACTTTTGCGTGCGAACATGTTTGTGTGCTCTTTTTGTGGTTTTCTGACGCCGTGTCAGTAAGAACCCCAAACTGGGCATGTTTCCGATATTTGGACTTTTACTCGGCAGGGTTGAAAACATAGAGAAAGGGGAAAATGAGACAAAAGAAGTAGCGCTTCGCGGTTGCATCAACGAAAAGCCAAAAATAGGTTCATCCCTCTCACTTTTTCGTTTCTATGTCTTCCTCAACTTACAAGTGAGCACGAGAGTTGAACATGTTGATCAGGCCGTTGGTCGAGCCGTCGTGGTTGCTGACCTGGTTGTCCTTCTTGAGCTGAGGAAGAATAGACTTGGCGAGCACCTTGCCGAGCTCAACACCCCACTGGTCGTAACTGTTGATGCCCCAGATGGCACCCTGGACGAGAACCTTGTGCTCGTACATGGCGACGATCGCACCCAAAGCACGGGGAGTCAGGGCGTTCACCAAGATAGAGTTGCTGGGGCGGCTGCCAGTGAATGTCTTGTGCGGGATCAGGCGTTGGATGGCGTCAGAGGACATGCCCAACTTCATCAGCTCCCGGCGAACTTCCTCAGCGCTCTTGCCGACCATCAGAGCCTCCGTCTGAGCGAAGAAGTTGCTCATCAGAATACGGTGGTGATCGCCGACGCGATTCTGCGTATGAATGGCGCCGATAAAGTCGCATGGGATGATCTTGGTACCCTGATGAATCAGCTGGTAGAACGCGTGCTGCCCGTTCGTGCCAGCCTCGCCGAACACGATGGGACCCGTCTGCGTCGGGACGGCGCCGGCTTTCTTCGTCACACCCTTGCCGTTGCTCTCCATATCCAGCTGCTGGAGATACGCGGGCAGGCGCCACAGGTACTGGTCATACGGAAGCACCGCCTGCGTCTCGGTGCCAAAGAAGTTGTTGTACCAGATGCCGACCAGAGCGAGCATCATCGGCAGGTTCTGCTCCACCGGAGCGCTGGCGAAGTGGTTATCAATGACGTGTGCGCCAGTCAGGAGCTCAACGAAGCTTTCATACCCGACGGAGATCATGACGGAGAGGCCGATGGCAGACCACACAGAGTAGCGGCCGCCGACCCAGTCCCAGAACTCGAACATGTTCGCGGTATCAATGCCGAATTCACGAACCTTCTCCGTGTTGGTGGAAAGGGCGACGAAGTGCTTCGCCACCGCACCCTCAGTCGGAATGTTGTGCTGCTTGAGGTGGTCCATGAAACCGTTACGTGCAGACATCGCGTTCGTCAGGGTCTCTTGCGTCGTGAACGTCTTGCTGGCAATAATGAAGAGTGTCTCTTCCATCTTGACCTGGCGCAGCACCTCCGCCATGTGCGTGCCATCAACGTTGGAAACGAAGAAGCAGTGGATGTTGCGCTGCGAGAACGGCTTCAGCGCCTCAGACACCATCACCGGGCCGAGGTCGCTACCACCGATACCGACGTTCACGATGTAGTGGATGCTCTTGCCAGTCTGCCCCTTCCATTCGCCGCTGCGAATCTTTTCGGAAAAGACCTTCATCTGCCCAAGCACGCGGTTCACGTCCGTCATGACGTCTTTTCCGTCGACGAGGATCGGGCGGTTGCTGCGGTTGCGGAGAGCAACATGGAGAACAGCGCGGTCCTCGGTCGTGTTTACCTTCTGGCCGTCGAACAGCGCCGTGGCGAACGCGCGTACACCACGCTCCTCCGCCAGGGCGATCAGGGCGTCCTTAACCTCGTCGTTGATGTGCGACTTGGAGTAATCCAGGAAGAGGAAGTTGCTGTCACTGCGGAGGTCCACCTCGACAGAGTAGCGTTTAAAACGCTCTGGGTCGTTTTCGAAATGGGAAACAATCGTCTCGTTGCCGTGCTTCTCGTACAGAGACTGAAGGCGCTTCCAGGCGGGAGAGTCCAGCAGGCTGCGGTCCGTAGCCCCCAGGACCTTTGTCTTGCGGGCGACCTCGTAAGGGGCGTTGAACGTGGCAGCGGCCATGCTGGGGTTGGCACCACCGGCCTTCTGCACATGTGCGTTCAGCTGGGCAGCGAAGTCGCTCATTGTTTTTCTTTTTGGCGGTACGAAAATATTATAAAAGTGGGAAATAATAATAATAAATGCTTGCAAAAGCAGAACTTGAGTACAATGGAGGCAACCGCCGTTAATAACTCTTAAGAAAGATAAAGTTCGACGTGTTCGTATGCGTTGTTTGCTTATGATTTTTCGTTACTCTCCACAAAACATTAAAAACGGAAAGAAGAGCGTTGGTAAAACGATGATTTAAACGCCTGCTTGCGAACAGACAGCTTTACAAGAACCGCACATGCATGAATGTTCAAATTATTATTAGTTTTACTGCTATTATTGCCAAGCGAAGCTCGTAATTCCTCACTTTCAACAATGAATACATCGGGGCAATATGCGTATTCAGTTAATGCAACATCATAGTAAGAAACACAGCATTGATATATTACAGTTCTTTTATTTTGTTTCATTGTTTCCTTTTTAAAAAATAGCGCCACAAATCACCCTAAAGAGTCGCTAAAAAAAAAATGAGAGAACCGTGAAAGTTGTGTCGAGACCTCAAAGCGACCCAAAGCAGTCGATCGCGCAACTCTTTTTCAACAAACAAACAAAAAAACAGACCTGAAACTTACCGGATGCCGAGAGCGCGTGAAATCTTCTCCAGAACGAAATCCTTCTCAGCCTCGTATTTCTGCCCCTTGCTTGGAATTTCCAAAATGCAGGGAATTACAGCAGTATGCTCCGCAACCAGGTGGCGAATGTCGTTCGCAATGTGCTGGCAAATAATAATGATTCCAATGTCGCGACGGTTGCACATCGTCGTGAAGGCTTCTTCAATTTCAGAAAGCGGCGTGGATGGGTTGACAACGTAATAGTTCGGTGGCGTCGTTTTCTGTGGCTGCCCATCTACTGGGTTTGCTACTTGGTTTGGTGTAACACGATTGTCGCCGACCCCAGCAAGAAGAAACCCAGTCACGGTATCCTCGTCCCCGATAATGCTGACGATGCGCTGCTCGCCGTTGCGGTAGCGAATTGGGTTTGCCATGATTGCCACAGTGAAGCTGGAAGATGTGAAGTGCAGGAGGGCTGAGTAAAGAGAGAGAGAAAAAGGACAGAAAGAAGGGAGTTTAGAAAAAGAAGATCAGGCCGAACGGGTAGAAAGTAAGTGTAGCGGATTACGCAAGCAGCCCTCACGTGCTGGTTGGTCAGAAACGCAATCCAAAAAAACTAACAGCATGCTTCTGTTTGTGTAATACTTAGCATATGTCCTTGCCGAGAAAAACAACGCGGAATTCTATCATACGCCACACTTGCGCGTTCCATAACGCATTAAAGACCTTTCCAATTGCATTTAACGTTTTCTTTTTGGTTTCTAGCAGAGAGTATTTAGCTCTTCCAATCTTCGTAGACAAGGCTCGAGGTGTGAAGTCCTGTCGTGTCTCCTTGAAGCGAGCTGTACATGGTGGCGCAATATCCGGCATCTGACGGGCTTAAATGGGAACAAGCTTCCAGAAAATATTTTTTTAGGAATGTGCCATCCACAATCTCCGCACTTTCGTAGCGCACGCGCCGAAGTGCTTCCTCCTCTGTAGTAACCGACTTCGAGTTCGCCACTAGAGTGTCTTTGCCTTCGGACTCCTCTTTTTGGCCAGCGAATTTGATAATAGTGCGTCCCATTGCGCAGCCTGAAGTCAGAAAAAAATAGAAGAAGAAGAGAGAGTTTGGGAGGTAAAGGTGCTTCTGTTGCAGATTTCTCAGCGAGGGTACGACAAATGTAAAGCCAGCATTTTCATTCAGTCAAGGGACCATAGAAACGACAATGTTTGCAATTCAAAATATTCCTTCTGAACCGCGTACAAGGAAGCAGCAAATGGTGCTGTACTTTAAAATGGGACAGAGAAGCGGAGATTCACTGTCTGTTAATAAAGCCTTTTGATCGGCATGAAGAAATACAAGAGGAGGCCCCAAACACGAACTGGGAATCTCACACACACACAATTCTGGAAGAATGAAGAGTTATGCTCTCACACATTTAGCATCAGAAACAAAAGAAGATAGGTTCAGCACATAAGATTTAAGAAGACTCGAAATTTGGTCTACCGCGCCGTCGCTTCAGCATACATACGGAGAAGAAAAACAACGAGAAAGCTCTCTTGACGTGTGTTTTTGTCTTCTTTTCTCTTCTCTTCAAAACACGAATCTGAATTCAGCTCAGCTGATTGAGCGCAAACAAAACAGTTTTCGCAGTTCACCTATAGACGTCGTAATTCCACACAAATCATCCGAGCTTGAAAAGCTTGCTTTAACCAATGATATTTTTCTGCATGTAAAGCATTGGAGCGCAATGTGGGAATGCCTCGTTTCAGAGGACCTGGGTCAGAAAACGCCTCTCTTGCACGAACATTATCCTCTCGTGCGCAGTTCCTCCCCAAGAACAGCAGCAAAAAAAAAAAATCTAGGTCGCTCGAAACACGACTGAAACAAATAGTTATCATTGTTTCCGGAGGTCGCGCGAGCGGCAGCGACAAAGTCGATTTCAAAAAATAACTGCTCTCTGATGTTGTTGCGTTCAACGGTAGATAAAACGCTCATTGACTTGCACATCGGAACGCGTTCTGTTGCCATAAGTCCAGAAAAAAAAGTATAGATAAATCACCAAAGTGCCTCGCTCGTGAAAACAAAGACCACCTAACAGAATTGACAAAATGATCTCGTTCTGTTAATGAGGCAAGCACTTGCTCTTATACGTAGTTTGATGGGATTCCCTTCTTTCCTGCGTACCCCAAAACACCAGCACAAATCAACCTCAATTCTATCGGTGAAGAGCGTCAACCTCCTTTGCGCCTTCGCGAGCCACCAGTGAAAAACGTGCCGTTATTATGGCGACAACAAGAGAGAGGATATTCGCCACCTCCAACTAAGCCTTGCTCACCGTGACGCAAAGTAGCGAATACGCTTTGTTTTACACGAAACGTCCTCCACCTGTAGCTCTTCGTCTTCTGCTAATAATCCTGTCTGTCAAGTCTACTTCTAATTTATCGTATTTCTCTCTCATATGGCTGCTCACAATTCAATACTGTGTCACGGCGTCTTTCTCACGCTTCCTGACGTGAAAACACAGAAGCTTTTCATTTCGCGTGCTGTGCAGAGTTGGTCTTCCACCTTCCGTTTCTTACCTCTTCTTCTAATAGAAAAGCAAACTTCAAAAAATGCGACATCGATTGAAGCTTCCACTTCCGCATGAAAGACTTTCTTCACATCTGCCACTTCATGCTCCGTTTCAACTCCGATTGTGTTACTGTAGAAACTGATTACTCTTCCTAGTTCCACCTACTTGACTAAAAAACCGGTGCCCCAAATCTCTTGAAAACGCTTTTTAACGGCCATGCAGTTCATGCCACTCGTCAAGCCCTCTCTTTTCGCCCCCTCCCCCCATTCTGTCGCCGGCCCCTGGAATGTTCCCTGTAACTAATTTAGCATCTCGAAACGAAACACTCTTCAAGAACTCTTCTCTTTTCCGAACCTTTATCTCTGCCAGCCGGGGGCATAAATGGAGGATTCAAATAGTAACTTGCAACCGTACCTCGTGCCGCATTGGAAGCCATCACGCCCGCTGAGCAGTACCATCAGGTGGTGTTACTAGAGCCAGGTGCACCAATCGAGGTTTCCTTCCGCTGGGAGGGAAGAAGCGGTGGAATCATTGGAGCAGTGAGCTCCCCTTGGTCGAGCGACAGCATGACAAAAACGTTAACAGCATCCTAGTCTCACTTCACACCAACCTGAATATGAGTGCAGAGCCGCAAAAAAGAGTAACAGAACATCTTGCGGAACCTGCAGGAAGGAAATGAGCATGCGCGTGTCTACTCCGTGAGTCGGGAGACGCCTCACTTCATCGACGACATCGAAAGTGGATGAGATCGAAATGCTTCGCGGCGAGAAGAATCACTGCGAGGTGAAGAAAAGTACTGCAACGCTTACGGCAAGTACGGACACTGGAGGTCTGAGTGTCACAGCCTTTAAAAACCCGGCGGTTACAGGCTGTCAACGTGCAGGGGAAAGTGCATGAAATACCTGCAGGGGTTCTCGCGGTTTCAGGTGAAAATCATGAAATTAAGCTAACGCGCGCCGCAGCATCAACATCGGAAGGAAAGTCGCTTTAAAAACGACACCCGTGGTGGCCACCATTTACTCGGGAGCAACCCTTGAATGTTGCAAAACCGCAGACACATTTGCCGGGGCCTGGTGCACAGCATTGTAGCAACCAAGACACACGCCATGAAAACTGACGCCGACAGAATCTCAGCGAAGAAAACATACTAACAGTCTGTAAACGCCGTCACGCAAACGAAGGGCAGCAACAGCACAATATCCACCGATGCATTGACAACACGAGCAACACTGAAACTTCTGCAAATCCAAAACAACTCCGTGGAGATCATGCTTAAAAAGTAGTTCATCAATAGAATACCTCACCAGAAAAGATGAAGGCGACAACCTCGTACAGGATGCCACGGCACAAAGTTGTCAAGGCCAGATGTGCTGCCTTACAGAGAAACCGCATCGTTTCTGCGCTGGTTTTGTCGCAGTGAACGCCGAGTTGGGCAGCGTACACGACCTGAGGGCCAGTTTCTTCCAGGTCGTGCTCCCAGAAAGAAAGAAAGATCGCTTCGTCTTCACAGATCCGAAGAGGCGGTAGACAGCGATCCTTGACGCGGCCTCCGATGGGACACACGGCCTCACCAGAAATCGTGCAAATCCTCACGTCCACCGTGGCAGGCAGTCTGAAGTGTACGGGCAAAAGGATCACCGTGAACGGCCAGCCCAAGCCTCAATCGACGTGTGGATCGACAACATACGGTACGCGGGAACGTGTCCGGCAATCCAAATAGCATGCCGGAGGATGTTGATTGTCGAGAAAGTGTGTCCAGTCTCTCTTACGCGAATGAGAGGTACACGGGAGAAGTCTCCGACTTCATAGGGGGTATATTTCAACCACGCAGCTCACAAGGTGGGCGTGGAAGATCGCTCGATCCAGAAGATTGCTGGTCTGAGGCCGAGCATGACGTGCGGCGACTTGAAGTGACTGTGCGCACAAATCCTCCGCAGCTCGTCATTCCTACATATCCGCATCGCAGAGTTCTATTGGGTGTTGAAGCTCATTAGGCGAAGGCTGTCTCAGCTCAGCCGGACACCTTTTCCAGTGAAGGAGCCGGCCTTCACACGCCCGACGGCGCATGCAGAACTCAAAAAATGATAGGATTTGGCACAGAAGAACCGCCCACGAGCGATAGCGCCGGTCATGGCAACGTAAATGCCAACAATGTCCCTCTACACCGATGCCTGTGGAGCCGCGCGGAGAGCGGTCTTGATCCGGGACGAGTCTCAAGGAATCATGAGCGTTCGTGAAGCTTGTATAGCAGCAGAGCAGCGGCACAAAAACACGCTGGAAGCGGACACCGTGGCTCTGGCGGTAGATCACTTGCAGCGATCGATTCCCGCAGGGTCGAGTCTTCATATCAGGAACGACAATACGACGGCCTTCGCCCCTCTCAGGAAGAGAGCCGGGTAGACAAAGGCGCTCAAGGACATTGCACTTCGCATAGAGAAGCCCTCGCGAAAATTCAGCTTTTTTTTGAGCTTGGGAATGGAATGACCTCGCCTGAGAATTATTCCTCCTACCTCTCTCTTTTCCCCTTTTTCTTTTATCCTCCTTCTCAACAGCTAGAATTCAGCAGTTCTTCCATCTTTTAGTTTTCTCCACCCGCCCAACCCTGAACTCCCCGCCCACCCAGCGGGGAAGCGTAAGGCGGGCTACCCACTTCGTAGAGTCTGTTGAATAGTTTGGTTTCTTTGCACGTTTTTAACTATTGATATTTTCAGTGTGTTGTAAAACCAAGAAAGATAAATTTATGTAATTCTCATGTAAAGGTTTGACCTGTTGGTAGGTGATGATTTGTAGGGTGTGGGTTATTCTCTTCAGTAGAATAGGTTCCTCCAAAAGAAAACTTGACTAAGACGTCTTTACGCATCTTTCCCTGAAAAGTGGCCCAGAAGTTTATCCTCTCTGTTCGTCTTTTGCGCCGAGAAAGCAAGTCACGAACGACTCTAAAGGATGCCTACAAGACAACAAGCTAAAGAGGATATTGTCCATTGGTATTATTCTGCAAGCGGTTCTGATTGAGTTTCGTACTGTGAAGAAAGAGCGTGTCACTTATTTAGTTTGCTGATATTTTGGTTGTGGTTGGCGTGATATTTGGTCTCTTTTCTTGATTCGTTGTTTTGGTTAATGCTTTTGTGCCGCGAAATTCAAAGATGAAGTTTTATGTGTAGAGCCCAAGTCCATGTCGCACGTTTGTACAACACTGGTTGTTTCAGGATGCACTTTCGCGATGTGTTCCAATTGTAACGCGCGAAACAACACCTCTGCCATCCTGTCGGGAATGCACCGACACGTGCTCGAGATCACTTGTGACTGCTTTTCTTACTTCTTCTCTTGCTTCTCTTTTGATCCTCACGATCTCTTCTCTTATGATCGTGATTGCTGAAGCATTCGCCCTTCCCGCCAAAAGCATTCCGCAGCCGTCAAAGTTTTAAAAGCCCACCCACCCAACCCTTCGTTTCAACTCTCTTTCTGTTTTCATTCCTTTTCATTTACGAGTATTTTTGTTCTTCGCCTTTCTTTTTCCTGTGCTTTCTGCAGCCTCTGGCGCAGGTGTTTTCCTTTACTTGACATTGTTTTAGCCGTCTTTTCTATTCTATCTTTGCGTTTTCTATCTTCTTTTTCGTTAACCGTATCTGTCTTCAGCAAGCTATTTTACAACCTGGTTTTCGCTGTACCGCGAGCATCTCCAGTGCGTCTTGGGGTCCTGCACCCCTGCCATGGCGAGCATGCCGCTCCTTTATTTCTGTTCATTAATCCAAACCAAGACGCTATTTTCACTAATGTTAATGATTACGTTCTATTGTTTGTTTTCTATCCAGCGGTGAGTTTTCCTTTTTTTACCGTCTGT